TATTTCTGTTGTTTCCAGCCACTACGTTTGTTGGTCGTTTGTTAGAGTAGCAAGAGAAAAGTAGCAAGAAAAAACCCTGGGATGCATGTGACCCGAAGGCCAAGGGTCCAAGCACACTCATTCCCACGAGCTGGCACTCCTACCTGGGCGTTGACCAACTGGATGAGCCGGTCAAGGTTCTTGAACCACATGTTGGCATTCTCATACTGGAAGTCTGAGCCCATGGTCATTATGGTGTGATTGGTGCGGTAATACTGGCCCTGTAGGGGGGATGGAGAATTCCTCAGGCCGGGGTGTCCTGGACCGCCCCTGTGACCACACCGTCGTGGTACAAATGCAGTCAAGCCTGTGGGTGTGCAGTGCTCAGCTGGTTGAGCATCCGACTCTTGGTTTTGGCTCAGGTCATGATCTCAGGGATCGAGCCCCTCGTTGGGCTCCACACTCAGCAGGGAGTCGGCTTGAGGATTCTCTCTCCCTCTCTCTCTGCCCCTCCCCCTGCACCGTCGAGCTCTCTCTCTCTCTCTAAGATAAATAAGTCTTGGGACACCTGGGTGGCTCAGTCAGTTAGGCGTCTGCCTTCAGCTCAGGTCATAGTCTCAGGGTCCTGGGATCGAGCCCCTTGTCAGGCTCTCTGCTCAGTCAGGAACCTGCTTCCCTCTCTCTCTGCCTGCCTCTCTGCCTGCTTGTGATCTCTCCCTCTCTCTGTGTCAAATAAATAAAATCTTTTAAAAAACAAAACAAACAAACAAAAAACCAAGTGTAGGTGTACATAGAGGAGTGGAGGGGGGAGGGGAATTGGGTCACGGGGGAGCCTAGGGACACCTGTGAAAATAGCCTCACGCTGTTGAGTACTCTTCTGGGGCCCAGATGAGGGCACTGAGGCACTGTGCCATGCTGTCTCATGGCCTTGGTGAGCATTTGGGGCAGCAAAGGGCGTCTGTAGTCTTCTAACCAGAAATGCACACAAATCTGGGAGGGGAGCCTGGCAACGGTGAATGGGACGATACGTTCCTCCAAGGGCGATGAGGAGGTGTTAGGGAATGCCTGTGCCGTGAAAGGGCCCAGTGCATCATGAACACGAGTCTCACGGGCTCTGCACAGTACGCTTACCTGGGCAGTGGCCAACTGTAGGAAGTAATCGATCAACTCCTTGGCATTGTACTCCGGGCTGCGCGGGTCCTCCACAAAGGGCTTGTCAGCGCACAGCGTGTCCCAGCACAGTTTCTCCGGCGGGTTGTACATATTGGGGAGCACACCTGCATACCACACCAGGCTCAGCACCCTGGACCTGCCCTGGGCTCAAAGCCTGCCACGCCCCACCCAGGAGGGATCTCAGAATTTGCAGGGCCCCATGCAAAGTGCAAATGCTGGGTTCTTGTTCATAAATTATTAAGAGTTTCAGGAAAAGGACAAAAAAGTGTAAGAGCAAACCCAGGGCCCTCTGAGCATGGTCCCAGGTCCCATGGCTCTGGGGCCAGCCCTTCCCCCATCCCGCCCCCTTACTGGTAAAGAGGTCAGCCACTGGGGGCTTCAGGCTGGCGCTAGCCCGCCAAACCTGCTCCATCTCTTGCTTCTCCTTCCGCAAGCTCTTATCTTGATAATCCAGACGCCCGAAGAAGAAACCGTCAAAGCCCATCTGGAGGTGGGGAGGGATGAGGACTGGGATCAGAGAGCAGGAGAAGTGGAAGTCCAGTCCTCTCCCCACCAACCACCAGTCCCCTCAGCATGGGAGGGGAGGGTCAGAGCACAGTTAGAAGCAGCAGATCTGAAACCAGAAAGGGTTTCAGCTCATTTTGAAGCCGGGGAAGGGTCAGGTGACACTGAGGGAGGGCTGGGAGGGGTGCGTGCGGCGCTAGAACAGACCTCCACCTTCCCCAGCTTGGAAAGGGCCTGCCCTTAAGGCTTTCCCCCTTAAGCAACCTGAGAATGGAAGGGATCATAGGATGGAAAGGGGACGCCATCATGCCAAAGACTGTGAAGTTTTTTGAAGAGCAGGGCAGGCCTCCACCTACCACCTGGCTTCGGAGAGGACTGGGGATCGTGGCAAATAGGGTGGGGCCAGAGCTCCAATGAGAGGCAGGTGTGGGACCCGGAAAGAGCCAGCTGGAGTGGGGTCAGCCTGGGCAGGTAGGGGAGCGGGGGAGGGGCTACTAATGGGATTCACAGCTCACCCAAGGGGCAGGGCCTCAAGGGGCCGGAGGGCCAGGGGACAGGACCTGGTCCAAGTGAGCTTGCAGGGAAGGGCGGAGCTTGAGTGGCCAAGGGAGGAGCTAGGAGCGAAGCTGAGCAATCACCTGTGCGAACAGCGAGGCCTGCTCCCGAGAGTGACCGAAGGGGTCAATGTGCCAGGCCACACGGGGGCGCCCATCTTTGCCAAACGTGTTTTCCAGGAAGCGCAACCCAAGCGTCATCTGGTCTATGATGGCTCCGTAGTGGGTGGCTGCCTCATCGTTCATCACCCAGCCACCGTTGGCAAACTCCAGGCGTCCTGTGCCAGGAAGGGCAAAATCTGGGTGGACTGTCAAGGCCAGGAGTGGGGCCAGGGGTGGCAATGCAGGGGATATGAAGGCCCGCCTGCAAACCCAGGCCAGGTGGGAGAAGAGGAGTCACTCCCAGGCCAGTGTAGCCAGATATGGAACAGAGGGCCCCCTGCGTGGCAGGCTTTCCTGAGGCTCCCCTGGAGGTGGGGCCCTGCGGGATGTATAGGAGTTCTACAGATAAAGGGACATTCCAGGCAGGCAGAGCCACATGCACATGCAGACTGCAGGGGACATGACAAAATCTCAACAGCTGGAGGGTCAGAAACAGAAGCGAGCTGGGCTTCCTCTTTTCACTTCCTTCAGGCAGGCTCACCCTGGCGTACCAGCTCCCGCACAACTTCCTGTGTTGCATTTGTCTGCTGGTGCCACCAACGGGAGAAGAAGGCAATCTCCACGTAGATGAATCGGCGGGTGGGCTCCACCAGCAAGGAAGAGATGACTGAGTCTAGAATGTACTGCACCCCCGCGTGCTGGACGTCGTTCTGGACTGTGGACACAGGGGTCGGGGACAAATGAGCCAAGGGGAGACATTCTTAGACACAGGAGCCCAAGCTGGGCAATGTCCCCCCTCCCAATGTCCAGGACCCACAAAGGATCTGAAGGCTCAAAGGGGCCATGGGAGCCCCAAGGGGAAGTCCTCCTGCTCTACTCACTGCCATAAAAGTACTGGTCCACAGTCTTGAGCCAGCCCACATCGTCATGCGTGTGGGCCACCAGGTGCACGTTGAGCATGTCCGGATGCACCACGGGGCACGTCTGCACAGGGACCCCAAATACACACATCCTGTCAGTTACACCGGGGTTAAGAAGCAGGCTGGGGTCGGGGGTGGGGTGGAGGCACAACATAGGTCTTGATCTAGAGGCGAGTGACCCAGAGAAAGCCAGCGAGGCCCTTCCAGGGAGGATGCCGCAGAGTTGGGCATAGAGATACAACACCCACTTGAAACGACCCCTTAGGGCACCTCTCATTCACACCTTGGGTTAATCGTAACAGTAGTAGCAAACGTTTATTAGGCATTTGCAAGTGGCAAGCAGCTGGGGGTGGGGGGCAGTATTATCTCATTTTCAGATGAGAGCACTGAGGATCAGAGTGGTTAAGTAACTTGCCCCAAGTCACAGGGCCAGGAAGTCAGGGAGCCCGGCTGGAACTCCAGGCAGGCTAACTTCAGGGTCCCAGCTCTCAAGCCATCCCCCCGCCCCCACATACACACATCTGCCCACACACAGTTAAGTGCATGCATGCAAACTCCCGGCAAGCCCACTCACAGAAGGAAGGAAGCAGGTACGGAAAGCCCTATTCTCAGACTCACACAGCCAGACCTTTCAATGACGCAAAGCATGCCTTCAGACCTCACTGTCATATTAACAACCATTCACTAGGCACCCACAGAACACACCCACCCACACCCCTGGACCCTACTCGGGGGTCTTCGCTCCAGCTTGCGTACGCTTCCGCTCCCGGGCCGCGCTCACCTCGTATCCCGCGGCCCGAGCGCCGGGCGCGGCCACCAACAACAAAAAGAGGAAGGAGAGAGGCGGGAGCGGTGGCTGCAGCGCGCGGGAGCCCGTCTTGGGCCCTGCCGCGGCCCGGCCGCCACCGCCAGCGCGGACCCCCGAAGGCCGCGCGTCGGCTCCCATGGCTCCGCCGCCGCCGCCGCCGCCTCCAGGGGCTTCCCCGGCCCTGCAAAGGCAGGGCAAACACCCCGCCCCCAGAACACTGCCTAGCCAATGGCTGCTGGCGGGGGCGGGGCCAGGGTGCTGCCTTTCGCATCACGGAACTGAGCCCTCTGCTCTCGCTAGCCCCTGGGGACACTAGGAGCGTGGGGAGGCGTTGGGCGTGTCCACCCTTGGTTGCTGGTTTAGCCAGGGGAGCCTTTAATATCTCACCGCCTCCGAGTGGCCCTTTGTCCCCGTGGACGAAAAGGCTTCAGATTTTCCTCCGGGTATAGTTTGCTTAGGAGGTGAGGATGTGTGCTTGGGATCCTACGATGTCCCGTCGGTCTTCAGGGCTAGGGTCTTGGAGGGACCTAGCTTAGCTAGGAGCAGGGGCTAATGGTAGTCCTGTTCTGTTCTATGAGGATTACGCATAGAAGAACTGCCCCCTGGGGTACTAAGGATGCAAGGTATACAGCCTTGTATATAAGAAATACCCATGGGATTCAGGTGAGGAGTAACAGGTGGGGGAGGACTCAATCTTTCATGCTTTTCCCAATCCCTACTAGTCCATCCAGTTCACTGATATTATCCGATTTGTCTGATAAGAAAATGAAAGCCCACATTTCCTCAGGTCAGCAGAGCCCATCTGCTGAGTTGCCAGAGGACAGGGATCACTGCTCTGCCTCAGGCAGCTGACTGAAGTCACAAGGCTTGTGAAAGAAGCAAGTGAACCACCACGACCAGAAGGCTCCAGGCTGGAGGCCCTCCCCCACCAGGAAGAGCACCCACAATCCACAGGAGAGGTTCCCAAAACACAGCCAGAATGCAAAACTTTATTATTAACTGGTTTCAACAAAAGAAACGAGTGGATACACGTAGAAACATGGACAGCATCTCCCCCAGCAGCAGGCAGGATGGGGAAGCAGGCAGGTGGGGGAGGCCTAGGGAATTCTCCTCTGCCCAGCAGAAGTGGAATCCCAGGGAAAGGGTCAGGTTCCCTCCATCCAGCCTCATTCAGAGAAGCCCAGGACAGCAGCTGAGGGCAGGGGCTGAACAGCCAGGGGCCAGGCCTGGGGGAAGGTGTACAGAGTAGTCCTTGGCTGACATCACCAGGGGGGCGTCATGGGCTGAGGGTTCTGCAGATATGACATCACCACAGCAGAGATGGACAGCCTGAAGGGGGAGAGAGGTGTCAGTCCAGGAAGGGCAGGCTTGGGTCCCCCTCTCCCACTTACTCAAGAGTCCTCCTTCTCTAAGCCTAGACTCACATGAAGCTACTCATCATCTGTTTAGTGTCCTCAGAGCTCCGGGAGTTGGCAAAGCTGATGAAGGAGCAGTAGACAGCGACCCAAGCGCACCACTTCAGCTGGGGAAAGGCAGGAGCATGGGGGTATTCGGTTGGTGACAGGCACACCAATGAGCCACCATAGGGGCATTCCCAGACACGGGTGCCAACGCACTGTTTCCACCCGATGCAACCTGGATCTTATCCCCAAGAATCCCTCAGTCCCATTCTCCCTAGCCTACTCCAGGTACCCAGTTTCTTGTTCTACCCTCTTGGCCTGCGTTTCTTGACAGCACTACATGCTCTCAGGCCTAAGAAGAGTAGCCTTTGACATGCCTCGTGATGCTAAGAACCCCATCCTTTCTCCACGAGTCCCCTCCTAATTACTTTAAAATCAGGCCGACCTCCCCGGTACCCACCCTGAACCCGGCTTTCCCTCCGGCTCTGGCTCTCTCCTCCGAGCAACACCGCAGCCCCGCCCCCGGCCTGGCCCAGGCCCCGCCCCCTCAGCGCCAGCCCCGCTCCATTCCGAATCCGCTCCCACCACCCGCTCCGTGGTCAGGCGGAGCTACGCCGAAGGAAACTCGGCGCCGCCCACCTTGAGCATGAGGCCGCACATGCTGAAGATCATGCCGAGCAGGTTCATGTAGTCCGGCGTCGGGTCGTCCAAGGCCGGGTTACACTCGCTCGGCGGGGGCTTGTACCTGCGGTAGGCTCAAGGGTCAGAGGCACTCGAAGTCCCGCCCCCGAAGTGGACAAGCGCTTCCCTGGTCCTCGCCCCACAACCCGAGCCCTGTTCCCGTGAGGTTGGGGTCCTCACCTCAGCACTTTGTTCGGCCTTCGTGGGTCCGACATGTTGTTAGTGGACATGGCGGGCCCGAGGTCGGGCCTCTTCCGCGGCAGGAGTCGCAGCTTCCGGCGCGGAAGAGGAGGGTGGCTTTTAGAGTGACACCCACAGGCTGCGAGCTTCCGTTCCCAGGGGCGGGGCCAGGACTCCTTCCAGCCGGGGGATAGAGAATTAGAAGAGACCAGAAATGTTTCTTGAAAACAAGAAGTGGGAAAAGAAACCTAGAAGCTGGAATCAGGTTTCAGTATTCCAAACACTATCCCGAAAAAAGCCAAAATATTTGAACCGGAAGTGAGATATAGGAAGTGGGCTACGGAAGACAATAAGGTTACACCCGAGCGTGGATCCCCAGAATTAGGAGCCCTTGCAGACCGATGCAGACTTGATGCAGACCGATGTAAAGCGAGGAAGGGAACCCGAAACAAATGGCTTTCCCTGAGCCGAAACCACGGGGCCCGGAGCTGCCGCAAAAACGGGTGAAGACGCTAGACTGCGGGCAGGGGGCAGTGCGAGCTGTACGATTTAACGGTGAGCTCCCTCTTCGTTCCGGGTTCTCCTGCCTTCTGAGGTCCTCAGCCCTATAATCCCCTCCTGGTGTTTCCCAGTGGATGGCAATTACTGTCTGACGTGCGGCAGCGACAAGACCCTGAAGCTGTGGAATCCGTTGCGGGGGACGCTGCTGCGAACGTACAGCGGCCACGGTTACGAGGTGCTGGATGCGGCCGGGTGAGCCGGGAGCCAGCCAGTCCGAGATACGGAATCAGAGACCGGGATCTGAGGTCAGCACTGATCTTCCCTCCTTTGCCCTCCAGCTCCTTTGACAACAGCAGTCTCTGCTCCGGCGGCGGGGACAAGGCGGTGGTGCTGTGGGATGTGGCATCGGGGCAGGTCGTGCGTAAATTCCGGGGCCACGCGGGGGTGAGTACAAACGAGAAGCCTCATTAGAGCGTGGATGGTGGAGAAAACCCGCATTGACGTGTAGGTGGTGACAGGGAACCCTCCCACCCCCACCCATTACCACGCCCACCCCACGGCCCAGCATGCAATGTCCCCCAAAATCTTTCACCTCCCCTATCTCTAGCCTCTGCTTTCTTTTTACTTTTTTAAGATTTTATTTACTTATTAGAGGGACGCCTGGGTGGCTTAGCCGGTTAAGCGGCTGCCTTGGGCTCAGGTCATGATCCAAGGATCCTGGGATTAAGTCCCACCTCAGACTCCCACCTCAGTGGGGAGCCTGCTTCTCCCTCTGTCTGCTGCTCTCCCTGTTTGTGCTCACTCGCTTTCTCTCTCTGACAAATAAATAAAATCTTAAAGAAAAGATTTTGTTTGCTTATTAGAGAGAGCACAAGCAGTGGGGCAGGTAAAGGGAGAAGCAGGTTCCCTTCTCAGTGGGGCCCGATTCCAGGACCCTGGGATCATGACCTGAGCCAAAGGCAGATACCCCTCCTTTGCTCTTGCTTTAACCAGCACCCACAACCCTGCCTTTATCCCAGTCCTCCAAAGTCCAGCCTCCTCTGAGTGACAATTCCCATCTCTCAGAAGGTGAACACGGTCCAGTTTAATGAAGAGGCCACAATCATCTTGTCTGGTGAGTCTGGGGCCTAGGCAGGGTGCTAAGCCCTGCAACCCAAAGCTGACCTCCCCTTCATGCTGGTCCTCACAGGCTCTATCGATTCCAGCATACGGTGCTGGGACTGCCGGTCACGGAGGCCTGAGCCAGTGCAGACGCTGGACGAAGCCAGAGATGGCATATCCAGTGTGAAGGTGTCAGACCATGAGGTCCTGGCAGGGTGAGTGGAGCCAGGACCTCACTCCTGCCCTACTGGGGATCACCACTGCCTTGCTACTTAGATTAAAATCTGCTCTTCTCACCTCAGCTTACAAGGCCCTGCACAGTGCTCTCTGCTGAGCTTTTAGCTTTTATTCATTCCACGTCTCATTTCTCTTAATATGCCAAGCATGCTCTCACCTCCGGACCTTTGCAGTTGCTCTTTCTCCGCCGGGACTCCCTTTCTCCTTACTCAGAGTGTTTTTGAGCCTTTCTTGCATACCACTTTTTTTTTGTTGGGAAACACAGCAGTTATTGAAATAGGGGAAAATCTCGGCCCACATCAGGCTGACGTTCTAGTTGCAAGAGGCAAACAATGACAATTCCCAGGCAGGGCTCCCCAGACTATTGGCTGGTCTGTTCCCACACATCATCTCCTGGACCACACATGTTTGTCTCCTTATCCTTCAAGTCCCAGTTGAGAGGTCACCTCCTCAGGGAGGCCTTCCTAGATTACTCTCAGTCAGTAAGGCTCTGGTGTTAGAACGTGCTCTTTGTTGCATCTGTGTCCCAAGGACTAGCCCAGAGAGGCAGCTCACTGCATATCAGAAACCCATAGAGTAGGTCCTGATTGGCCCTGGGTCTCCGTCTCAAAGCCAGTGCCTGGGAATTCCACTTAAGAACTCATTTCAGTGTTTATTTCCCATGTCTAGCCTTGAGTGTGAGCATGACAGCGAAGGGTGCACAGGAAGGGCAAGCCCAGCCCCCACCCCCCACCCCCCGGGTCCTGGTGGGGTCAGGGAGAATCCAGGGACTGGAGCCATGGACCTCCTGGCCCCAGTTGATGCTTCAGCTGGATCCATCCTCTTGCAGCTCCGTGGATGGCCGGGTGAGGCGCTATGACCTGAGATTGGGGCAGCTCTTCTCAGACTACGTGGGCAGTAAGTGTGGTGGGACTGTGGGGCAGGCAGGGCCAGTTGGGGGCAGCAAAGGGGGCCCCAGCCTCACCCACCTGCGCCCCTCCCCCCACCCAGGCCCCATCACCTGTACCTGCTTTAGTCGGGACGGGCAGTGCACCCTGGTCTCCAGCCTGGACTCCACGTTGCGGCTTCTAGACAAGGACACAGGGGAGCTGCTGGGCGAGTGAGTCCTCGGGGTCGTGGAGCCCCCCCCAACCCTCTGCTAGGACCCAGACCCTCCTGACCCCTCCCACCACCAGGTACACGGGCCATAAGAACCAGGAGTACAAGCTGGACTGCTGTCTGAGTGAGCGTGACACACACGTGGTCAGCGGCTCCGAGGACGGGAAGGTGTACTTCTGGGACCTGGTGGAGGTGAGCGTCCTCTGTCTTTTCCTCCGTCACTCCCACACCTGCAAAGGGGAATGCTATTAGAGCTGGGGGCTTGCAGGAGTGAGTGAAAAGAGAAAGCAGGAAGGGCATTCCTGGCAAAGGGAACATGTGTGCTAAGGCTTGGAGGTGTGGCCCACTTGGGTCAAGAGACAAAGGTACTGTGGGATGGTGGCAGCAGCAGGGCTGGTGTAAGCAAGGCCATGCAAGCCCAGCTGACCTTGGAACTGGGGCCAACAGCCGCATCAGACCCCCACTGAGATGGGGCTATAGTTCAGAAACCCTGAGCTACCTCTGAGCATCCCCATGGTTTCTAGTCCCAAACCCCGTGAGCCCTGTCTTGATAGGTCTCGGCCTGGTGGGAAGGTCAGACTGGAAACAGACTATTATTCTGACCTCATGGGGTCAGGGCTGGGGCTTGGCCAGGGCAAGTAATGCCCCTAATAGGATGGAGGAAGCTGGGGGTGGGGGGCGGAGACTTGCGGACCCAGCTCTCTCTGGCAACTGAGAACACGCCAGTGTTCTGCTTACTTCACGAGAGTCTACCAGACAAAGTCACCCTGAGCGGAGAAGCGCATGGAGGAACATTTTCGAAGTGGGAAGAGCAATTTGGAGCCTGCTTAAGGGACCAGATGCGTTGAGCGGGGACTGCAGGCTGATGAAGGAAGTGAGCACAGAGACTGCCCTGTGGGCCCCTAGAGCCCAGATAGCAGCAAGGCAGAGAAGCCAGGACAGGACAGCATTGGAGCAAGGTGGTGACTGTGGATGTGGATCGAGACATGGTCCAAAGGCCGCACCAGGAGCACTTGCTCATAAACGGGTGGGAGGCGTGAAAGAAGACTCCCAGGATGTTTGGCCTGAGCCACACATGCTCCAAAAGATAGAGCAACTCAGGGGTTCATTTTGGGGCAGCTGAGGTTTGCAGTGCCTGGCAAGCAGTTAGCAGCGGGTGGCTGAAGGTCAAGGGAGAGGGACGCACTGATAACGGCTCCCCGCCCTTTCCCTCCACAGGGTGCCCTGACACTGGCCCTTCCTGTGGGTCCCGGCGTGGTACAGTCGCTGGCCTTCCACCCCACAGAGCCCTGCCTGCTGACCGCCACGGGGGGCAGCGTCCAGTGCTGGCGGGAGGAGGCTTATGAGGCTGATGGTGGCACTGGGTGAAGGTGGGGGACCCACCACCACCAAAGACATGGACACGGACTCAAAAGGATCATGGAGACCATTTATTTTAGACACATGGCTGACCAAGGAGGGAGGAAGGGACCGGGTTTGCAAGCTAATAAATACAGGAGAGGGGAGACTTCCCTGAGCCATAGCCATTCAGTCCTCATTCTTCTCGGGCATGAAGGCATCTCTCTTCTGGGCAAAGGTTTCAGCCACAAGCAGGGGGAAGACGAGGGAGGCGTCGGCGTAGACCTGCAGAGGGGACGTGAGTGAACCATAGGGCTCGCGGCTGCACTCTGGGAGACTGTGCGCCCCAGCCGCCTGACCGGCCCTCACCTTGACAGGCTGTGCATCCACCCGGATCTTGCCCCAGGAGACAGCTTCATCCGGCCTGGCACCAGAGTCCGAGCCATCAAACTCCTGGGCCGTGTTGATATAGACAGAGTAGTCAGCCCCGTTCCGCTGTGGGGAGAGCCAAGGGCAGGGGGAGCTGGTCAGCCAGTCACTGGACATGCGGGGAGTGGGGGGCACTAGCTAAGAGGCCAAGGGCTATGTGTTGCGTGCAGGAAGCCTGGAGCGGCCCCCCACTCCATAGGAAAGGGCCCCACGCCCATGCATGAGCAGAGCACAAGGTTGGGGTTTGGTAGGGTTGATGGGCAGAGCTGCCACCAAACACAAAGATGACGCCCACTCTGATCAAGGCCCCATCAGTCCCCACCCGACCCCCCATGTTACCCCATCCCCCACAGATGCCAGAGGGCGCCTGTGAGCTCCCAAGTGGCGGCCCTGGAGGCCTGGCTCCTGCTGCTGGTCACCTCCGCTCCCCTTCACCGGCCTGCTAACTGTCCCCGGACTTAATTCAGGCACCCCAGAGCCTTTGCACTGGCCATTTTCTGTACTTACTGGCTGTCTTTCCCAGAACGTCATTTCTCTTGCCATCTTGTCATCCCTCGTTTTTTTCCCACAGGAGCTAACTGCCATGTGACATACATGTCACTTGTTCGCTGCCTGTCTCCCTGGCTAGAACATCAGTCCAGGAGGACAGGGATCCTGGCCTGTCTAGTCCACAGCTGTCTCCCCGGCACATGGCACAGGCCTAGCGCACAGGCATGGCTGCATGGCAAGCCTGTGTCCACCCTCACTAGGGACCAGGTACCCCGTCTCCACTCACCATGAGGTTGGCGTTGGCGATGTGGTGCTTGACCAAACCCCCGCCCAGGATGATCATCCCAGTGTGCTTGGCAAAGATGGCCTGCGTGTTGATGAGCCTCAGGTCTGGAGAAGAGTGCTGTGGTCAGGCTGTGGACCCAGCCAGCCCTCCTCCCCTGCTCCCGTGTGGCCCCAGCGCCTCACCCTCAACGATGTCCAGGACCAAGCCTGGGTTCTTGTAGGAATGGAAGAAGATCATGTCACCCAGGGAGCCATCTGTGAGCGCTGGGCTCAACACGGGGATGTGGTTCTGGGGAACAGCAAGACAAGAGCGACTGGAGCTCAGAGCCCAGTGGGGGCAGGCTGGTCCCTATCCCAGTGGCATCCCCTCCTCTTTGCCTGATTCTGGGCAGAGTGCTTAAGTTTTCTGGGCCTCAGTTTCCTCAACTGTAAAATGGACACAACACCTCCCTCATGGACGAAGAAGCGTTAAGTGAGGAAATCACAAAGCACGAAGGATGGTGTCTGACAAAGAACGGCAGTTCTCGCTACTCTGCCGGACCTCCGTCTTGGAGGAGCATGGGACCAGACGCCCCACCCCATGACGGTTGCCCCAACTGATCCCAGGTCTAGGAAACGAGCCAGGATCCCAAGGTCACACTCAGTGGCTGTGCAGCCTCAGACAAACCACCTAAGCTCTGTGTCGGATTCCGCATCTCAGAGTGGAGATGAGGAACGGACTCTCCAGGGGTCTATGAAGGTGAAACAAGCGAATACACACCAAGGCCTGGTATCCCACCCAGCCCCTCACCTTCTGGGCCCAGTAATACACCGATTCTGGGTTGTTGATCTCCTTGCCCAGCCGGGCAATCATCTTGGAAGGTGTCCACTTCACACCCTAGGAGGAGACAATGACTTCAGCCTACAGTGCCTGCCCCGGCTCCTACCATGCCAGCCCCTAGGTCGCTCCTGCCCCACCTCCGTGTTCTGCTCCAGCACCATCTGGTCCAGAATGGGCATCAACCAATCCTCAAACTTGCAGTAATTGTCGTTGGGCACCAGTAAGTTTCCAATCCTGTGAACATGAGGCCATTTGGGCATCAGGCCCCAGGACTCCCAGCCCAGCTCCCTTGCTCAGCACCACTCAGGGCCCCCAACCTGTTGATCCCGTTCTCACGTAGCTCCTTCCCCCTGAGACTGAAATCGCCCAGGTACGTGGGTGCCAGGCACTTGATAAAATCTTCCTCCACGCCGCCAGCTGTGGTCACTAAGACGTCCACCTGCAGCCATAAGTCAGGGAGGTTGGCCCAGGAAGAGGGGCCCTGCCCTCACCCCAGGTAGAGCTCCCAATACTAACCCAGTGGCCCTTGGGGAAAGCTCTACAGCAAAAGTAGATCGTGTCCCTCTGCTTAAAACTGACCCTATCTCCCTATGTCATTTAAATCACCAGTAATTTTATTGCCCTAAGACCTAGAAAGGCCAAGGCCACAACCCCACGAGGTCCCCACCATGTTGTGCTGCACGAGGTAACGGATGGTTTCACGGATGCCTGAACTGATGAGGTTTGATGTGTAGCCCAGAAAGATGGTGCATCCAGTAAGTGGGCGCCGGCTCTGGGTCAGGTCTGCATGGTGGTCTTCATCCTGTGACAGCGGCTCCAGTTTCTTCTCTATCTAGGTGTAAGGGCAGAGTCAAGTTACCCTCTGGCCCCAAACCCTAGCACCTACCACTTCTACCTGGAATACCTGTAGCCAGGGAACGAACGCCTTTTGTGCAGGCTCCGCCCCATTCACAGCCCAAATCTCAAGGCACACGCTCAGGTTTTACCCCCTTTTCAAGGAATTGGGAGAGCACGACCTTTGCAGGCCCGGTCCCTTCCCCGATGGAAAAAACAAATCCGAGGGGCGCCTGGGTGGCTCAGTGGGTTAAAGCCTCTGCCTTCGGCTCAGGTCATGATCCCAGGGTCGTGGGATCAAGCCCCACATCGGGCTTTCTGCTCAGTGGGGAGCCTGCTTCCTCGTCTCTCTCTGCCTACTTGTGATCTCTGTCAAATAAATAAAATCTTTAAAAAAAAAACCAAAAAACAAAAAACAAATCCGAGCCTGATTTAGGCTCCTCAACCGCACAGTTCAGAACACTTTCACTCGCCTCCAATCTAGAATCAGTCCCAACCTCATCCTGATTGTAGGATGCTATGGGGATGGGGGCCGGGAGCGGGGAGACAACGACCTCTTCCCAGCACAGAAAATGCCGCCCAGAATGGGTCCCGCCTCTCTCCAACTATTGGACCGCCCAACAAAGGACACTCCTCCTTCTCAAGGGAGCCCCGCCCCCTCCGAGTACTGCATTGCCGCTACTCTAGGCCACACCCCCTCGATGTAGGAAGTTCCGCCCCAGGCTTCACCATGGCGTTGACTTGCTGCACGGCGCGCCCGAAGTTGGTGGCCTGGAAGCCAGTGGTGCCGAAGGCCTCCAGTAGCGCACGGTAGTCCACGCCGCGGTTGAAGTCGTAACCTCGGACTTGGGAGCTCTCGGAGGGTAGCGCCGAGCTGTGCTTCAGCACAGCGGCCAGCGCCGCCGCGGGTACCTTCCCTTCCAGAGGACCCTCCATGTTCCTGAGGCCGCACTCCCAGATCACAGCCGTCCCAGGCCAGGCCTCCAGCGGCCTCCAAACACACTAAACCCCAGCACGCGCTCTGTACGACAGTACAGGAAATAGGGCTCGGGAAAACCTGCAGAGAGGGACGGGAAGTAGCTTAGTCACATGACCTTCTTTGAGTCCCATAATCCAGGGCGCGGCCATATTTGCGCGTGCGTTCCGTAATACGGAAGCTGCGAGGAGCCGCTTTCCTTGTCTCGTGTTTTACCAAGCATGAGATGAATAACGAGTCCTACTTTCACTGCCGCCTGCTGGAGACCCACCGCGTTGCGCAGCGCTTTCCCTATCGTTTCTGTCCCTTCTGGGAAGGAGGGTGGCTTCTTAGACGTCGCCTTTGGACAGGATTCGAGTCATCAGGAAATGTCAAATAGTTTCTGCCCCTGAGCATCTCTCGTCGAATGGTTTAGTGATCGCTGTCTGTACCTCTCAGGTCTCCAGAGCCTCCTCCACATGCTGCGTAACCCTGCAGGCCGTTGCAGCTGTCGCTTCTTCTGGGAAGCCTCCTCTGACCTTCCTCTGGGTAAGGGACCTCCTCTGGGATCCAAGGCTGACCTCTCTTTCCTTCCATCAAGACTGTGAGACCCTCAAAGGTGGGGTCTGTATCTCATGGATCCTCCTAGCGCTGCACAGGGTCTGGTCCAAGGGGACTCTTTTAAGCAGGCATTCTACAACTTACGGAGTCTATACTATACGTTGGGCTCTGTGTTTGGCATTTCAGACTTATCAGTGAACAAGATGCAGACCCTGCCCTCCTGGAGTCCACAGTTTGGGGAGCTAGAAAGCTAACCACAATAGTGGTAAGTGCTATTGAGGATGCCAAAATGATGATGTGTCTTTTAGGTAGGGGTGAATAGAGGGGGAGGTGGCCTTATTTGAAGCGACAGGTGATTGGGGAAGACGCCAAGGAGGTGACATTTGAGCCAAGGCCAGAAAAGCCCCTTACATGAGGATTTGGGGAGGCCTTTATCCACCATCCCCCACTGGGAAAGAGAACTGGCAGTGCAAAGGCCCTGAAGCCAGAGATTAGCCCACTTGATTGGAGAAAGAGAACATCCTCCTTGACATCTTTGACAGTCCCCAGTTGGATCTCACTCCTCAGTTCCCACTCCTCCTAACCCTGATCTCCCTGCAGTCTTCCACAGCTCATCAAAGAACCCTCAGCTCAGCAAATAAGCCCTCCGTGCACCTAATAGGCTCAACACTGGAGAATTGAGCTTAATGTCTTTCCTTCTCTCACACTCACACTCATCCCTCAGCACCTCCACCAAGTTCTACCCACAAAATGGGTCCCAAATCCAGGTGCCTTTTCTTATTGTTAGAATTTGACATTCTGTTAGTTTCAGGTGTACAACATTATGATTGGGTGTTTGTATCCAGGTCCTTCTCTCCATTCTCAAATCCTCCACGCTGGGCTGCCTTCCCTCCAAACCATCTCCCTGCTGTGGTCAGAGAGCTCAATACACAGAAACCAGAAATATCGTTCCTTTTTAAAACTCTCTTATGCTGGCTTCTCCCTAGGAGTAAAATCCAGGGTCTTCACCGTGGCCTGTGAATGTGCCTGCTTACTTTCCTGCCCTCATCTCCCACCACTTGTCCTCAATTCCTTCCTCTCTGGTTACATCGGCCTCCTCGCTGTCCTAGAACCCACCAAGCTCTTTTCCTGACCTTTGACGTACCCGCTGCTCCTTCTGCCTGGAATACCCTCTTTTCCAGCTCCTCCTCTGAATCTCTGTCTAAATATTACCTCGTCCAAGAGGCCTGCTCTGACCACCTGACTCCCCACTTACCTTGCTCATCATTCTCTTTCATTTTGTCTGCTGTTGTCCGTCCCTCCCTGATGACAGCGGCCGCTCTCTGCAGGCAGGATTGTCTGGGCTCGCCGCTGTTTCTCTTACTCTGTGCAGTGATCGCATACTGTGATCTCAGCAAATATGCTGAATGAATCAGTGAGCCCACACAGGGGCATCAGAGTGATCCGGGAATCCAGGAATGAAGGAGGGAAAAGGGTCAATAAATGAACTCAGGGACTCCTGGCTGGCTCTGTCAGTGGAACTTGTGAGTCCTGATCTCGAGGTTGTGAGTTTAAGCCCCACAGTGGGTGTAAAGATTACTTAAAGATAAAATCTGTAAAAGAAAAAAAAGTAAATTCAGAACAGGTAGAAGGTGCCAGAGCAGACAGAGCCCTCTGGGCAGTAGTAAGGAAGATGGATTTAAAAAGGCTGGGAGACGATTGGAGAGTTTTAAGATTTTTTATTTATTTGTCAGAGAGACAGAGAGCACACAGGCAGGGGGAGCGGCAGGCAGAGGGAGAAGCAGGCTCCCCACTGAGCAAGGAGCCAGATGCAGGACTTGATCCCAGGCCCCTGGGATCATGACCTTAGCCAAAGGCAGATGCTTAACTGACTGAGCCACCCAGGCGTCCCAACCATTAGAGAGTTTTTACTTCCCCCAACTTTAAAAAAAAAAAAACTTTTATTTTTGAGTAAGCTCTACACACAACATGGGGCTCAAACTCACAACCCTGAGATCAAGAGGCAGCCAAGCCCTCCACCAACTTTTTTTTTTATCGTAGTAAAACTTATATAACATAAAATTTATTATCACATTTATTAATTTATTCAAGTATACGGTTCTATGGCATTAAGCACATTTACACTGTTGTACAGACATTGCCACTGTCCATCTCTACGATGTTTTCATCATCCCAAACTGAAACTCTGTCCCCATTAAACACTAATTCCCTGTCCCCCTCCCCCAGCCACCCACCATCTACTTCCTGTCTCTGGATTTGACATCCCTAGGGATGTCATGTAGACGGGATCATACCTTATCAGTCATTTTCTGACTGGCTTATTTCACTTAACATATGCCTTCAAGGGTTTTCCATGTTGTAATGTGATTTGTTTTTCACCAGACCCCACTGGCTGCCTCGAGGAGAAAACAGGGGGTGTGGGGAAAGGCAGGGCAGGGGGGACGAGGGGGAGGCGCCTTTGCTGGTCCAGGCCAGCAGAGGTGGGAGCAGGACCTGGGACATGCCAACGGACGTGGAGAAACATGACCAGATTGGGAGCTAATTTGAAGTTGATCTGATGGCTCCTAAGAAAGGCTCAGACGTGGGGACACCAGAAAGAGAGGGTCAAAGGAGTTGAAGATGTGGGCCAGGGCATTTGAGCGGATGGTGGTGAACTGGGGGCAGAAGGTCTTGGGGGAAGACAATCCCGAGTCCAGCTTTGGCTGAGCTAGGCGAGAGACCCCTGAGACCCCAGTGTGACAGACTGAGGAGGCAGTAGGCCCTTCGGGTGGATGTGAGATCAGGGAAAGCTCTGGGATGGGACAGAAGGAGCCATCAGCATAAGCAAGTAGACAGAGTTCTCTGTGGATAAGATCCCGGCTGGTGAGTGTATACAGGGGAGAGACAGGGCTTCACCTGAGCCAGGGTACACTCTGTATGTGGTGGGGGGTGGGGGGCAGAGGCCGGCAAAGGAGGAGGGTTGGGGCCCATCAGCAGAGGATCAAGCAGGTCAGTGAGAAGCCAGGGCCCCATGCTCCCCCAGCGAAGGTGACACGTGACACCAGGGCAGCCACTGGGCCCCCTGAGGCAGGGACCCCCTCAGCTGAGCCAGCTGCTGCCGCTGGTGACATTTCACTCCATGAGTGTCCTGGCTTCAAAGTCTCTGCAGGGGTGGGGGAGGGATCGGAGGAGGCTGGAGAGGCAGGGCTGGCCAGGGAGGGAGCCAGAGCCGGGCTGCTGGAGGACTGAGCAGTCAGGAATCAGCTGCAGTCCTCAAGCTGAAGTACGTGGTCCTGACGGGTCGGGGACCCGCCACCCCCTTCCCACAGCCCCCAGGGGGACACAGGAGGCGGCTAGGGGACTCTCAGATAGCCGTATGGCTGAGTCTGGAACCGAGTCCACTGCCCGTGACCCCGCTCACTTTCCTGCAGATGTCCGGCAAGGTGGCCATTGGCAGTGACATCGGGCAGGCCCGCCGGGCCGTGGAGCAGCTGCGGATGGAGGCAGGCATCGAGCGCGTGAAGGTGAGGGCCAGGGTGGTGGCACGGGCGTGTCTGGGCGAGGGGGCAGGCGGGCAGCCGGGGCCTGGCTGACCAGGCTGGCCGGCAGGTATCCAAGGCGGCTTCTGACCTGCTGCAGTTCTGCATGGAGCAGGCCAAGAGCGACCCCTTCCTCGTGGGCATCCCCGCTGCCACCAACCCCTTCAAGGAGAAGAAGCCCTGCACCATCCTGTGACCTCCATGGCTCCGACCACCCGGGAGGCCGCAATAAACATGAAGTGAGGGATTCCCCAGGATGTGGCTTGGCCAGGCTTCGGTGGGGGCGGAGGGGGGCCGTGCTGGCAGCTGCCCGCGCATCTAGCGCAACCCCCATCCCCCACTGGCTCTAGGGTCCTGGCCCCAGCAGCACACACGTCCTGCACCCCCAGAAGGACAGCACACACCTCCCCCGCCCCTCTCTGCGCCCCCGCACCCGTGGGGTGGCCTCAGCAGATCCCCTTGCCCACCGCACAAACGCGCCCAGGGTAAGAGTCCCAGTCTGAGTGCCAACATGCATCACACACACACACACACACACACACGTGCCATTACACAAACATGTGCACACCCTTGAGAGCCTCCCCCTCCTCACACACACCCACATCCACTGGCCCACAGACAAGCGTAGACAAGGTTATTGTTACGACACTCACAGCCAGACCTGCCTCCCCCGCGACACAGACTGTCTCCCAGACGGTCACACACCCAGCGGCGCCTCCCAGTCCCAAGCAAGCACAGGCAGGGCCCTCGAGGGACACCAATACATCAGGTTTATTTCTCCTTGGCTCTGGAAGGAAAGCAGGTATCCAAATCCTAACAAAAACAGGGCCCCAGGGAGGAGAGCAGTCCGCTGGGTGGGCCTGAACACCAGGCTCACCTCCCCTGGCGTGGGCCACGGCCCATGGGGCACAGCTCACCACGGCCCAGACTCCTTGTGCCTCAGGGCTTCGGGACAGGGCAGGGGCAGCACCAGCACAGGGGGGACGGTCCCCTGAGAACAGAGGCCACAGCCCAGCCTGTGGGCCGGCAGATCCACGTCTGCATCCTCCTGCTCAGGCCTGCAGCCTCCAGACCTCCAGTGACAGGCCCCCAGAGGCGGCGACCACCAGGTTGCCCTCTGCGCAGATCTGGGGATGCAGGGCAGAGGGAGTCAGGGGCGCTCTGGGCACCTGGGCAAGGCGCAGGGGGCAGGGCCTTACCCCATTCAGCACGTTGTTGTGGCTTCGGGTGCAGATGGTCCTCGGCGGGTCCGTAGGCACGTGCACCTGGGGAGGACGGGCAGCGGGCAAAGGTCTGGCCATGCGCTGCTGGCTGGTGGGGGCAGGGTAAGGGAGGGGGGGCCTGTCTCGGGAGCTCACCCGGATGGTCTTGTCGGTGGATGTGGTGTACAAGGCCCCCAGTGAGTGTTTGATCCCTGTGATCTGAGACCTGTGGCCCACGTCAAAAGACTGCAGGAAGGAGGGACAGGGAACACTCAGGGAAGGCCTTGCCCAGGGTCAGCCCGCCAGCTGCCCAGGGGGTCAGGAGGTAGGGAGGAGGCCCAGGGGCTGTTGGGCAGGGGCCAGCTCCCTGGCGGACCCGGACGAGCTGGAAGCGGCCATTGTGGTTGGCGAAGACGTGCAGCAGGCCCTGGTTGTCACCAGCCCAGAGCTGGGGCTCCTGGTAGGACATGCAGAGCAGGTAGGAGTCCAGCTGTGGGAGGAATGCGGGACAGAGCAGCTCAGGCCCGGCCAAGCCACCACCCCATGCCCGGTCCCTGCGGGTCCCCTGGGGAGGGTCCACCTGCAGCCGCTGCAGGACGCTGTTGGCCCTGCGGTCGAACACCACGAGCGTGTGGTCCTCGCTGCCCGAGATGATGTGCCGGTCGTCAGCCAGCAGCGCCAGCACCGCACTGGAGTGCAGCCGTCGGCTCTTCAGCAGGGCCGGGCCGACTTCGGGAGTGATGCAGCGAGGAGGGAGACATCAGAGCCCCTGCCCCCCACCCCCCGCCCGCCCCTATCCCACTTGGCACAACCCTTGGTCTGCTCTGCCTGCCCCCATCCCGTCTCTCTCCTCTCTTGTCCCAGCAAGGTCTGGGGCCATCCAGGGCCCCCAGATCTCAGCCCTCCGAGCCCCCGGCCCAATCCCATCTGCTCTCAGTACCTAGCCGACCTCAGCGAGTTCCCACGGAAAATGCTTCCGCTCCCAGGCGGGTCTGAGTGAAGCCCCACTCCCATGACCAGGCCCCCGCCTCTGGCCCCGCCTGGGAAAAGACCCCTAGGCCTACAATTAAAATAAGAATGAATAAAGAAAGAAACAACAGAAAAGGCTCTGGTGCTGGGCAGTGTTTTCCTAGGCTTTTTATGTAAACTAGTATTTAATCCACCAATGTTCCTACTGTCCTCTTCTCCTATGAACCCTATGGGTTGGGGTTATTATCCAGATCTTACAGACAGGGACACTGAGGTTCAAGCTTGACAGCTAGGACGTGGGGGAGTCAGGGTTCTAGGGGCTGCTCCACCTCCCACAGTGTTGAGGCTCAGAGGATCTCCCGCCCTCCAGACACCCCAGGTGGAGGGGGCTGCCTCTGCCCCAACACCCATCCCCCGCCAGCTGCCTCTGCTGGCCCAGCCACAGCACGGGCCGCTCGGAGTGGTCAGCATCTGGTTGAGACTGTCATCCCAGCCAGGCTGTGAGGTCCAAGTGTCTCCTTCCCCAGCATGACCCTGGAGACCCCAGGCGGCCCTCCTCTCCCCACCTGGGTCCCCGGGCCCCCGGCCCACCTCTGGGGTCGTAGACGGTCACCTTCTTGTCATAGGTGCCAGTCACCAGGATGTCAGGCCGGTAGGACAAGCACAGCACAGCCGCCTTGCCCCTGGGAACACACGGAGCCCGAGGCTTGGGCTGTGACTAGCTGGGACCCAGCCCAGCCCCGCCTCCCCGCCCAGGACCCCACACACTTGATCTCGCCGAACTGCTGCCCATCAGCTGCCATGTCCCAGAGCTTCACCGTGCTGTCCCAGGAGCCAGAGCACACGCGGTGGTCCAGCGCTGCCAGCGACCACACCCAGCCCTGCAGAGCAGACCCAGTGGTCACCCCCATTCCAAAGGTAACAAATCCAAGCGTTGGAGGAGGGAGACAACTGACCCCAGAAGCCAGAGCACGGCAGCTCCAAGTAGAGGTCAGGACTTAGGTCGGTGGGTCTGTCTGACTTCAGAACCCGGGAGGTGCACACCCACATAGAATGAGACTCCTAAGTCCAGTCCCTGCCAGACTCAGCACCTGTGGTGGTTTGGGGCCACGTAACAAGCCGATTAAAAGTGGGGCCTCCACTCCATGACTGGAGCAGATGAAGTGCTCTCCCTCAGTTTCTTCACTGGGAAAATGGGCACCAAAAAACAGCGCCTGCCTTGGGAGCTAATAGGCACAAATCACTGGCTGGTGGCTAACCCATTCCTCACCAAACTCCCTGAAGAGAGTGCTGTAACCGGGTCGCATGCTACAAACGAGGACACTGGAGCACAGAGAGGTTGTGTCTCTTGCCCAAGGTAACACAGCCAGGGAGTAGCAGAATAGGGATTTGAACCCAGTGGCCTAGCTCCGGCACCAAGCTCTTGGCCACCTGCCTACACCACCTCGGTGACTGGTGGCAGTGGTTTTCCTCCACAGCCGCTTCTCATGAGATGACCGCCATGCTCAGAGCTTTGCGAGCCTCACAGGCAGCCTCGTAACTGCCCCGCCCTATGCCTCTCAAGGTATACCTGATGTCCCCCCAGTGCCTGCTGTGTATCCCAGCCCAGGCGAAGCTCTACGGCATAGTCATCTCATTCATGCTCATCCTAAACGAGCCCTAGACACAAGTAGAAATGGAGGCCGAGAGAAGTCCCACATCTCACCCAATGTCACACTAGTCATGGCAGAGCAAGATTTAAATCCACAACGTCTGGTGCCGAAACTCCTGCCCTTAACCATGGCACCCTACTCAGGCCCCACCCCTCCATCCCCTGTCTGGTCTCCTAACCCCTCACCTTGTGGGTGCTGTTCTTCTCAGAGCCCAAGGCCTTGACTAGAACCTGGCTGGGTTCCACCCCCAGCTGCCGCAGGTCCCACAGATTGACATTGCGATCTCGGGAGCCCGACAGACAGAACGCACCGCCCTGAGAAGAGAACAAGGTGGTGGTGTCAGAATCACCCTGGCCCAGCCCTGCCTGCCCCCCACCGAGCCCCACCTCACCTGGAGCAGCAGCACCGAGTCAATGGAAGCAAAGTGCCCATCAGCCAAACAGAAGTACTCAGCCCAGCGCCCATCCTCCGCCCAGCGTGACAGGTGCTGCTCCAGCTCGATGCAGGCTGTCGGCCAGTCAAAGTCCTCCTCTGTGGGGCATCGTGAGCAGGGTCCCCAGTGGGCAGGAATCCTGACATCCACAGCAGCTGTCCAAGCCCACCCCTGGCTTTCAGGAAGCCCAACCTTCACCAGACTTGGAGAGAACCCCACCTGGATCCCTGACCCCACCCAAGAAGGCCTAGAATCTAGCTTTGGGACCACCAGCCACCCACCTTCCAAGCAGGCTTAGGACTACTCACCCCAGTTTCCAAAAATAGAGTAACCAGAGCCTCAGGACCATCTTTGCAGGTCTCAACCCCCAACCCAAGTGTGGAGGACAGTAGCCTCAGGATGTCAAGGTCCTGCCTCAACCCTCAGGCAAGGCATCAGAACTAGGACATTTTGCCTCCACAATTTCAACCAAACCCAGGGAAGTGTTCTCAGATTAGTTTCTGTAAACGTGGGAACCTTGTCAAGATGCAGAACTCAAGGGCTAGATGCAGAGATTCAGTGGTATAATGGGGCTCAACCAACTATGTTTATCAGGCTGTTCAGGAAAGCCCCATCAGTTCAAGCTGACCAAGCTGTCTTATTCCCCAGGTATCAGTGACCTCAGGGACAGGAGGAATTACTACCAGCCCCCAGCCTAGGTTAGACCCTGGGCTTGAGGATTCATCTGTGATTGCTAGTAGCAGGGATCCTAACCTCTAAGATGTGGCTTGATTTAAAGGTTGCAGGCTCCGGGCCTTTAGTCCCTGCCCCATCCCTACTTAGATCAAGACTGTAAGGGTGGGGAGTTTGACATCACCAATTGCTAGCTCAGCATCTATACCCAGAGTATTCTTGGCCTTACCCCGAACCCCAAGAGATTCCAATTGCTAAGACTTCAAGTCCCTGTGTCAACCCCCAGCCAGGGTTCAGGTCCGTAGTACCACCAGACCCCAAGCCTAAGGCTCACTGGATCCTGAGTTCAGGGACCCCAGCCCCCCAAGTTAGATTTCCACAGCCCCAGGAGCCCCAGCGCCTAGCTCATGGTGCACCAAGAGGTCAGGGGCTTTGGCACCATCGATAACTACCTCAGCTTCCACCCAAGCCAGGACCACCAGGAATCGTGCTTCAGGGCGGTGCTCACAGCACCCCAGCCTAACCTGGGCAGCTGACCCCGGCCCCCAGGCGCGCGCACCTTCCACCACTGGGTAGGGCGCGCGCACGCGGCGCTGCGCGCGTAGCCTCCAGGTGACCTGGTCACGCACGAGGTCGCGCAGCGTGTGGCACACGCGTGGCAGGACGTGGAGCACCAGGCGCGCGTCTAGGTAGGCGCAGATCTCGAGCAGCAGCTCCGGAGGAAGGCTCAGCAGTCCCGGGACCCCCACGGGCGCACCCTTGGACGCCGCCCGCGGCTCCAGGGCGCCAGGGGATGCGACGGGCGCGGACAGCAAAGGGGCGCGTGGGGGCCCCTCCCCGACTTTCGGCGGACTGAGCACGCGGGCCACGTAAGCCTCGGCCTGCGCGTCGGGGTCGGGCTCGGACTCCGGGTCCGAGTCATCTTCCCAGGCGCGGGGATCGTCTCGCGGCCCTGGGGGCAGCTCCATGGCGACCGAGGTGGGCGCGGCCAGCCGGGCCCTGTCAGCCCAGGGCCCGCGTCCCGTCTCCTAGGCAGCGCAAAGGCACTTCCGGCGCCGCTTGATGACGTGTCGGCGCTGGCGCTGACCGGAAGCGAGCGCCACGTGCTGGAACAGGCCGGGTTTTAGAATCACGCTGTTCTGAGGGCTTCGGTGGTGCAGCTGGTGCAGCCTTGGGCTAGAAAATGCCTATTCCCGTTTCTAGCATTTGTCAAAAAGGCATCTGTGGCGGGGCTGATGCGGACGGGCGGCTGAGCCTGGTTCGACGCGGTTCTGTCCAAAGCACCTTTCACAGATGCCACTGAGCTTAGAAATGCAGCCCCTGAGTTGAGGCTAAACCGTATCGGGATTCCAACTCCTTCCGGAGACAGAAACGTGCAGCTGTACCGCAGGGGCTTCAAGTTCTCTGAATTATCTACAATCGCCCTTATCTCTTATTTATCGAAAGCGTCTCTTGAGCCAGGCAGTATTAACCGATCCATGTAAATGTCTCAGAGCATTGCTGTTCAGCCTCCGGATATCCACGTGGCTCTTTGCTCAGCTATCACCTTCGCAGTGAGGCCTTCTCGGAGTATCCTACTGTAAAGCTGACCATCTTACCAACGTTCTCTCTCCCCTCCCAACTTTTTCTCTATGGGACATACCACTGTTCCGCAGTTTATCTCCTATTCGCTCACCAGAATGTACAACACGTTTGTTGAATGGAACGCTGGGTGTATGTCAAGGTCAGGTTTTTGTTTCTTTTCCCAAGTCCATGCAGGTGACCTTTGGCAAGGTTGAAGTAGCAGCAAGAGTTTACTGAGGCTGTGTGTCCCAAGAACTTAGCAATTCTCATTTGCCTCTGTAATGCCGCTCACACTAACTACACCTCCCACAGGCCAGGTGCCAAGCTTAGCTTCCTACAAAACTGTCCAACCTGCCCAGTGACCCAGAGTTGCGAGGCTAACCAAAGATGAGGGTGCCACAAGACTGCCCCTTAATTTAGTGTAAGGCGATGGGATCTTGAACCTGGGCTGTAACACTAATGGCTCCCTTTTAAACTGAGCTCAAGACATTCCGTGAGCTATAATTCCGTTCCAGGGGACACCACACACGTGTATGTTACCACATCTAATCTTTTTCCTTCACATTCACCTTCCCATTTTACCGGGAAGAAAAGTGAGAGGCTTGGGATCCCAAGAAATGTGCCTGGGTAACACTTACTTATTTCCCTCCTCCCGAATTATTTCCTGAGTCCTGTGCATCCCCATTTCTAAGACATTCCAAGCCCCCCTCCACATCTTTTCTCTACTGCCAAAGCCAAGCATACAGGAGGCCAGATAGAGACCAAGGGTTTCACAAGAAACTGATCTTTACTCAACAAAGTTCTACACAAGTGGAATCTCACGCCACCTCGGCGCCAATCCCCAGCACAGCACAGTAACAAATGGACAGACCCTGGAGCCCGTAGGAGGAAGAGGGTGAGGGGAAAGCAGGGATGTGGGACAAAGAGGGACTGCAGATCGAGGCCAGTCAGGGTCCGCAGCCCTGGGCAGGGGAGAGGGTTGAGAAGCTGAAACTTCGTTGTGCAAAAATCAACCAAAAATAAATAAAAAAATTAAATAGTTTTCTTAAAAAAAAAAAAAAAGAAGAAAAAGAAGAGGAAGAAAAGAAAGAAAACTAGAACCAGGCTCCCCTTTCCTGAAGGTGGCTGGAGCCCCCCATCCTGGGTGGAGAAGGGGTCATCAATCCCATCAGACACCCAATCCATCCACACACCCCAAGACCCAGCAGAGGATGCTCCAAAGAACTGGATTACCAGAAAATTAAATGGTACCTAATTTTTTTTTTCTTTTTTTAAACAAGTGGCTTCCAGAGACCTGCTGGAGTTTCACAGGGTAGGGAAGCCAGCGGAGTTAATGGAATGTGCACCAAGTGCCCCTCGGAATAGAGGCAGGGCCCAACCTTGTCTGGGAAAGACAAAGGGCTATGATGGGGTTGGGTCCAGGGCCCTGTAGGGATGAACAGAACAAACCCCGGGATGTAGGAATCTAGTCAAAGCCCCACATGACCCCCAAAAGGCCCCCCAGAAAACTAAAAGTAGGGAAGGAGAAAAAGGAAAACAGTAAGGGGGTTGCAGGGCCCGGTTGTTTTGAGGCCAACTGGGAAGTAACTATGGCCCCTCTCTAGGGGTGCCTCCCACATGGTGACTGCATCCCCAGCCCATCCCAGAAGGTCCTCTAGAATCACTGTCCATGGGGTCTTCTAGCCCACAGGGAGCTGTTGATGAACAGGAAGCCCCAGGGACAGAGAGTGGGGTCAAGAGGTGGACCACGTTCTCCTCCAAAGGGCTCGATTTCCTTCTTGCTAGAACATAAGCTTTCATCCCTGATCCCATCGATTAAAAGGCCCAGCCCCAGCCCTCAAGTTAAAACTCAGGCTGGAACCTGAGAGGAGGGCTCTCAAAAGCACAGAGAAATGGGCTGCCCTTGAAACCAACTTGCTTATGAAGAGATGCAGGGGTAGGGATCAGCAGCTCTGGCTGCCCCCAGCTCTCTTCAGGAAAAGACCCTGGCCCAAGTGTCTTCAAAAGTCACTGGGGCACAGTGGTGGTGGTGGTGGGTTGGGGTGGGGATGGGGCGGGGGGGGGGGAGAAAGGGCAGCCTCTGGCCAGACCCAGCCCCTCTGGCAGTCCCCCGCTCTTCTGGCTGGGACAGAGCAAGGATGGGGGACACACAGGCTGCGGCTGCCACAGAGCTGGCAGGAAGTGTGCGGAGCAGGTCCCAAGCGTGCGCGTGCTGACTTGGGCGGCCCAGAGATGGCCGTCCTTGTCCCCCGCCCCAGGGTCCCAGCAGAGGCCCCCAACCCACCCAGCCCTCCCCAATCACCAATTCCGGCAAAACAGCAGAAGCTTCTTAAACTCTAGATGCAGGTTACACGGAAGGCCTTACGGGTTAACTCAGGGGTTCACTAATTCTACTGTCTCCATGCAGTCGGGGAAATGGTGGGGCGGCTGGCCCAGCCCAGCTGGCTGTGGCGCCGCACATGCGTGTGTCCACGTGTGCACATGTGAGTGGACGTGTCTCTACAAGGACCCCCCTCCCCGCCTGCTTTCCCCTCGCCTCATCCTAAGCCGGATTTGGTCGGCCGTGTTGAATCTTCCCTCCCGCGAGGCTGGCCCACGTGGGCTGCCTGAGGTGACCCCGATGGAGAGCAAAGGGCCCTTGCTGCCATGAAGTCCCCCCCCCTCCCATTTGTAGGATGAGTGTGGAGACCCCACCCACCTGCCCGCTGGCCGGCAGGCCACACACACACCCATGGCAGGTAGGTGGACGGGGAAGGCGTCTGGATTTGGGTCCCGCTCACTCCTCCCTAACCCCCCTCGACCAGGGCACGGCGACTTCTGGACGCAGCGCGCTCCCAAGCAACCCCTCCAACGACGCAGACAGAAACCTGTGGGGAGAGACAGGGGTCAGGGCCTGCGCTCTGCACCCCCCCACCCAACACCAATGGCCCCCCCGCATGCGGCCTCCTCACCTGGCGGTCGTGATGCTCGTCTAGACCCCATAGAAGGCAGCCAGCCTCTCCTTGAGCAGAGGCGGGAACTGCTCTGAGAACTGCTGCCAGTTCTCCTCCCCAACTTGGTCTTTGAAGCCGTGGAGAATCTGCGGGGAAGCAGGAGGTGAGGCGCGCCCCGCAGCAGAGCCCTCTGAAGGCAGCCTCTCCCCCGGGAGGCTTCCCCCTCCCTCCCCCCACCCCACCGCCGCTGCCTCTCAGGACAACATCAAGGCCAAGCAGGAGCTCACCTTATAAAACATGTCCCGAAGGTCGTCCTTCGGGCTCACCCAGGAGGCTACAGCGTCGCAGAAGAAAATAAAGTCCTGAAACGTGACAGGTCCTGTGTGAGGGGCCGCCCGAGCCCAGCCCCAGCGCCTTCCCTCTGAGCCCGGCGGCCCCGACCTGCACGACGCCCCCGGGGTTGACGCCTATCATCATGCAGATGCCTCGGAAGGCTGAGTCCTTCTCCTCGTTGTCCCTGATATTCCTGAGGGACGTGCACCTGTGGGGGAGGTGAGCGGCAGGCAGTCAGCTGGCGGGGCTGGGGCAGGATGGGCATCTGTGGGGGGCAGTGGGGTTGGGGTGGCGGGTGGTGGTGGGTGGAGCGGGGGTTTGGCAGGCGATGGGGCTGGGACAGGCATCTGGGGGTGGACACAGGCCTGGGAACGGGTCAGGCCCGCCCCACCCGCCCTGCTGCCCAACCTGCCCCACGCAGGCCCCACTCGGGCTGGGGGTGGGGACACAGGAGGGATGGGGTGTCACACACCAGGGCCGGATGAACTGCTGCAGCATGGGGGCCACCTCCTGTGGGCACACGTAGCCCAGGCGGCCGATGGTGATGGCTGGAATGGCAGAGGGACTCGTCAGGCGACCTGCAACCCCGAGCGGCCCCGGGACGGTACGTGGCGGGGCCTCTGGCACGAGGCACCAGCCCCGCCCCGTGGGCCCCAAGGGAATAGGCCCCATCAGGGTCTCCCCGTCCCCGAGCCCAGCATCTTCCCTGGGGCTCTTCCAGAACCCCCTCTAGGGTCTTCCCAGACACCATCCCTGGTTCTTTCCCAAAGTCTCTTCACCGGTACCCTCCCGGCCGGGCAGCCCAAGTCCAGGTAAGGGAACGACAACTGCTCAGGCCTGGTGCCCACCTGTGTTTTCTAGCAGCGTCTTGGGCGTGTTGGGCCGGTTGATGATCTCCACCAGGTTGTTGAGGACCATCTGCACGTAGGGCTGCATCTCCGCCCCTGGGGGACCCGTCAGTCAGAGCCCCGCGGAGCCCATAGCACCCCTGCTTATCCCCAGCTGCACCCAGACATTGGCCAACTGCAACCAGTGAGGGGACAAAGAACATTCTCCAGCTGGTGCCCCGCTCAGGACCCATGACCATCCAGGGACGGACCCACACCTTCCAAACACCAGAAGCTTCCTTGGAGTCACTGTTCAACACCAGGGTTAGGCCACCATTACCCACAGATTCCCTGTGGGGGAGGGGGAGGGAGGACATGGCCACAATCTCCCCAGCAATCACAGTGGGCCCTTCAGCCAACTGCACAGGGCGGGAGGCCACCAACAGTCCAAACAGAACCCACTGCCCGTTCAGCCTCTTTGGAAAAACCAACCACGGGTGCCCTTTCAGCCATCCGGCCAGGATCCCGGAGGAAATGGATTCAGAGAAGTCTCCTTGCACGCCCCACCACAGAGGCACTCAAGAAGCCCCAGGGCTCTCTTATGTGGACCTGTCAGGCTGAGCCCGGGTCCAGCGCCCCTTGGGGAACAGGCCATGGAGGAGTGAGGGGCAGGGACTGCCAGGGACTCACCCATCTGCATGCAGATCTCGCCGATGGCCCAGGTGGCATTGTTGCAGACAGAGATGAACTCAGGGTTCAGGTTGGTGCCCAGGATGGGCATGAACTCGGCTGGTGGGGAGGAGGAGGAGTGCTGAGCAGGAGGGCCCGCCAGGGCGAGGTCCTGGACCCGGTCCGGCTGACCCCATCAGACAGTACGAATACGACCCAGTTTGGTCACTGTCCTCCCAAAGTCATTTCTTCATCACTTGAGGCCAGAGTTGGGGTCATGGGGTCATGAAAAGAGGGGCATCCTACCGATACAGGGCTTGACGTGGATGAAGCAGGCTTTGGTGAGATCTCCCAGGAGGGCGAAGGAGCTCTGCCGGACCTCAGGCATGGAGTCCTGGGGGGGGTCAGAGAAGGGTCAGTGTGGCAAGGCTCCGTGTCCCCCAACCAGCTGGGGTCCTGACTAGTCCCTCAGGGTAGGGCAGCTGGGGGAGCAGTCCCTGGGGCACAGCCTGACCCTGTCACTTCCCATCATGGGCCCCATCTGTAAAGCTGGGACTTGGGGCACACTGAACCACAGTATACCCCTGCCTCGTTCAGGGTACCACTAGGCAGGGAGCAGTCCTAGCCACTGCCCACCCTGACACACCAGGCGTGCGTATGTATAGAGCTAGGGGAGCTTCTGCTTTTGTATTTCTTCCACTTTTTTTTTTAATGTCATGTCCTTGCCCAGCGTGGGGCTAGAACTCATAACCCTGACTGAGATCAAGAGTCACATGCTCTACTGACTGAGCCGGCCAGGCGCCTCTCATTCTTCTTTCTAATTTTCTCTGTCATTAGCTTATTCAATGAGATTTGAGTCATGTCTTACTTGAATCACTTTTTAAAATAAAGACAAGCATGTTTCTCCCCTGTGGGTCCCCTCCTCCAGATGTCCGCTCAGCACCCCAGGGCCTCGTGTCACCACAGGAGGCCTGCCCCGCCGCCAGCGGGATCACGGGGTGGGGGTGAGGGGCCACCCACCTGCATGCACTGGAACAGCAGCGTCATGATGTTGCTGCGGGCCACCAGCTGTTCCACGTGGCCGCCCAGGCCCTCGGCCAGGCCGCTGAGCAGGTCCAGCGCCACGATCATGAAGTCCTTGTCGGGGGCCTCGTACTGCTCAGGGTGCTGGGTGTACATCTGGGCAAAGACGGGGCGGCCGGGCAGGTAAGGGGAGCGGGCCGGGGCCAGGGTAGCCGCAGAGGAGCGCAGGGGCGGTGGAATGCTCACCATGGCCTGGGCCAGAGTCTTCTGCACCAGGGTGACGCAGCGCTGGTAGACGGGCTCGCAGTAGGGCAAGAAGCCGCTCTGCAGGGCAGTGGCCACCGATGACAGGCACTGGTCGGGAGGAGGGCAGGAAAGGTGAATTCGGGAAGAAGGGGGCAGGGCTTTGGGAGCCAGCCAGGAGCCCACCCACCTCCAACAGAGGGAAGAGGTCCTTGTCTTCATCCTTGAGCTCGTTCCACTTCTGGATCAGCGGAGGCATCAGCTTCTGGATGTATTCCTGGAGAGGAAGCATGAAGTTGGGGCTTCCTGGGTAGGGGGGGCAGCCTGGCACCAGCAGGGCTCCCTGTGACTCAGAGGCACCTACTGCCTGAGCGATGAGATCTGAGCTCCTTGCTGTGGCTCAGGGGGCCCTATGAGGCCCTGCCATCCAGCCAGACCACCAGGCCCGGCTCAGCGGCTCCCTTCTCACTGTCCATGCCCCACCCGCCCCACTCCGCCCCCTCGGAGCCAGGGTCAGCCCCTCCTGGTTCCCGCAGGCCCCTGAGCTTCCCCAGCACAGCACTTACCACACTGTCTCATAACTCTCTGTCTCCCCCACTAGACTGAGAGCAGGGCGAGGGTGGGGGCCAGGTCTGTCTGCCTGTTGAGGTCACGGCCATGTCCCTGGCGTGTGACACGGGGTCGCCGCCAGGTCACTGGCAGCAGAGGAGCACAGGGCTTGAGAGAGGGAGATGCTGTGGGGTCTCACCGGCTGGTTGAGGTGGTGGCCCACAGAGTCAGCCAGGGTGCCGATAGCATCGTAGAGGATGAGCAGGTTCTTGTGCTGGTACTTGCCGAAGGCGAAGACAAGGGTGTCCAGGATATAGCTGAGGTAGGGCACCAGCTCCGTGCAGGCCTCCTCCTCCAGGGTGGCAAAGGCACTGGAGTAGGGAAGGGGTTTAGTGGGTGGCCACAGGTGGGGCTGGGCCTGTGGGGGATGGGAGGGGAAAGGGATGCCCTTGGGATCAGACAGTACGAATACGGAAGAAATCAGCATGATGTCAAGATCACAAGCGTCATCACTTCCCAGAAGGCAGCTGGTGGGGCAGGGGTGGGGGCCGAGGGGGCCGGGGGTCGAGGGTCACCTGCAGGCCGCCTCCTGCACCCTCTTGTTGCCATCCAGGATACGCTTGAGCAGCTCTGTCATCAGGGGCTTGAGGTGCATGTCGGGGGGCTGGCTGACCACCCAGTGGGCGTAGCGGCTCAGCGTCCAGCAGGCAATGGAGCGGACCAGGGCCTTCTTGTCCGACAGGCACTGGATGAGGTGCGGGATCAGCTCAGGCAAGTAGGGCACCATGCCCTGCATGCAGCCTGCAGGGATGGGCACGAGGGCAAGCCTGAGCCCCGCTGGAGCCAGCCACAGCCACCCTCCTGGGCAGAGCTCAGCAGCACCTAACGCGGGGGACGCCGAGGCTGGGAAAGCCAGGGTGGGAGGCGGCATCCGAATCTGGCTTTCCCCTCCGTCGGTGCCACCCTGGCACGGTCACTCACGGATTCACAGATGGCCGGGCAGCACGGTGACCAACATGGATGGAATGTACTTTTCTTTCAATTTTTAAAATTTTATTTATTTTGGGGGGCACCTGGGTGGCTCAGTCATTAAGCGTCTGCCTTCAGCTCAGGTCATGATCCCAGGGTTCTGGGATCAAGCCCCCCATCAGGCTTTCTGCTCAGCAGGAACCCTGCTTCTCCCTCTCCCACTCCCCCTGCTTGTGTTCCCTCTCTTGTGGTGTCTCTTTCTGTCAAATAAATAAATAGAAATCTTAAAAAAAAATTATTTTTCATTTTATTTTTTTAAGTAGGCTGCATGCCCAGCTTGGAGCCTAGTGCAGGGCTTGAACTCACAGCCCTGAGATTAAGGCCTGAGCTGAGATCAAGAGTCAGATGCTTGATCAACTGAGCCATGCAGGCGCCTCTTTCCTTTTTTTTTTTTTTAAACTTAAGCAATATGGGGCACCTGGGTGGCGCAGTGAGCTAAAGCCTCTGCCTTTGGCTCAGGTCATGATCTCAGGGTCCTGGGATCAAGCCTGGCATCAGGCTCTCTGCTCAGGAGGGAGCCTGCTTCCCCCCGCACCCCGCCTGCCTCTCTGCCTACTTGTGATCTCTGTCAAATAAGTAAATAAAATCTTTAAAAATAATAGTAATAAAAAATAAATTTTTAAAATTTTATTTATTTTGGAGGGCGCCTGCGTGGTTCAGTGGGTTAAAGCCTCTGCCTTCGGCTCAGGTCATGATCCTGGGGTCCTGGGATCGAGTTCCACATCAGGCTCTCTGCTCATCAGAGCCTGCTTCCCACCCCTCCTCTGCCAGCCTCTCTGCCTACTTGCGATCTCTGTCAAATAAATAAAATCTTTAAAATAAGTAAATAAATTAAAATTAAAAAATAATAATAAAGTTAATAAACAAAAAACTTGGGCTCTAGACCCAATGTGGGGCTCGAACTCTCGACCCTAAGACCAAGAGTCGCATGCTCCACTGACAACCAGCCAGGCACCCCAAGTCCTTTTCTTCTGAAACATTTCTTAGATGTTTGTGAGTTTTCTAGTTTTCATCTTTTAGGGAAAAAAAAAAACATAAACAGGGGCGCCTGTGTGGCTCAGTCAGTTGAGTGTCTGCCTTCAGCTCGGGGTCGTGGTCTCAGGGTCCTGGGATCGAGTTCTGCATCAGGCTCTCTGCTCCCCACTGGGTCTGCTTCTCCCTCTCCCACTTCCTCTCCATGATCTCTTGTTCGTGCTCTCCCTCAAGTTATTAAAACAAAAAAAACAAAAAACTGGGACGCCTGGGTGGCTCAGTTGGTTGAGCGGCTGCCTTCGGCTCAGGTCATGATCCCAGCGTCCTGGGATCGAGTCCCACATCGGGCTCCTTGCTCGTCAGGGAACCTGCTTCTCCCTCTGCCTCTGCCTGCCATTCTGTCTGCCTGTGCTCGCTCTCTCTCCCTCTCTCTCTCTGACAAATAAATTTAAAAAAAAAATCTAAAAAAAAAAAAAAAAACTGTGAACGTAGCTCTTGTTCGGAGAACACAGATAACAGTACACCACCTGATAATCCGAGACCCAAGATAATCTGAGACCCAAGGGTCAATTCCTCTAAATTTTCTCCCATTAAAATCTTTTCCCAGAACCTTCAGGAAGCCCGTGAACATACACACACATGATGTTACCGTAACACGCGCTGTGCTTATCATACAAGGAAACCTTTCCTTAACTAAATTTCAAAAGCTCGCCAGAGTGAAGGCTGCTGCTTGCTGCCTGGCCTGAACCTCGCGCGACAGGCCTAGACGCTGCTCCCGAGTGATGCGGGTAACATGCCCGTGGGCGGCCCGGGAAGCGGTGTGCTGGTGTCAACCTCCCCCCTGCCCCGTTTCCCCATCTGCGCACCCCCACCTCATCAGGAGGGCTGCCTGTTGTTACTGTTGTAGCCCTAACTGTGCCGACCCCCTCACAGAACTGCTGTTGGCAAGAATTAGAGGGAGGGTTTGCGTCGTGGCACCCAGGGGTTCCGTTCAGGCCCAGAGGCGGAGGGGAAGATTCCTGTCCCAGAGCTGTTTGGCGGGGACTGAGCAGGCCTCTGAGAGAGAGAAAGAACCTGCGGCTGGGCTCAGCCGGGCTCAGCCAGGCCCCATGGCTACGCAGCACAGCCCGGCCCGGGGCCAGCTCCGGAGTGCCGTGCCAGCACAGGGCTCGAGGTCAGGCCCTCCCACACCAGCCAGCGGGGCACTCACCCTCAGCGATGGCGCCCAGCACCAGGATGCCCGACTCTTTGACCACCCACTCAGGGTGGAAGAGGAGTCCCTTGAGCAGGGGGAGTAGGTGGGGCAGCAGCTCCTCCCGGAAGACATTGGCCAGGACGTCCAGCGCGGCTGCCGAGCACTTCCCTGGGACGGGAGGGGAGAGGAGGCGGCAGGTTCAGGGAAGCCCTTCTGGACGGGCTGCCAGCCTCCTAGACTGTAGCCCCAGGATCAAAGATCATGTGAGCACCTTCACCATCTGCTCTGAGTAGGCCTCTCACCTCCTCCCGAGAGAGGCAGCCCCTGGGCTTGCTGCCCTCCCCCACCCACCCAGCCCCCACAGGCCGGGCCACGCACTCAGATTCCAGTCAGACAAAGCATCGTCATCATCATCGTCCTCTGCGTCCTCCGAGCCATCGGGCCGCTCAGCCTCATGGGGCAGTGTCACTGTGCGGGACTTATGGAAACGTGGCTTGATGTCCTGCTCGCTGTCAGGGACTGCCTCGTCCTCCTCCACGTCCCCCTGTGGGGCCGGGCAGACCACTAAGCACCAGCGGGGCCCCCAGCCTCAATGCCCCGGCCCTCACCTGCCCGTTCATGCCCGACAGTGGGCCCTGACTGACCTTGAGCAGAATGATGTCGATTTCTGAGTATTTCATCCCATTCACCAGGATGGGGATCAACCTGTTGGGAGAGACGCTGCTCATCAAGGGGGAAGCATTGAGCCAAGAAGCAATTGTATGGAACTTAGGGGTATTATCCTGACCTAGTTTTAGCAGCTGGGACTGAGACAAAGTGGACACCACTCCTGGCTCCACAAGAGGGTTCCTGACCCAGACCTGGCCACTCAGGGAATTCTAGACTTCTGAATACACCAAAAAGCTTAGGACAGTGGCTGCTCCCTAGCATACTGTAAGGCAAGGAGGACTTAAGGCTCTTCCCCGGGATGGGCCACGTCAAACAAGCAAAGAGGCAGGGCAGCCAGTCTCCCCAGCTGGACCCCATGCACCTGGGGACTGGAAACTTTGATTCATGACTCGGCGATAGGCAAGTGATCCAAGTTAGTCAAGGAGGGTCAGCCCTAAGACTTGTGCTGCAGATACTAGCTGAGACAGAACTTCTTTCCTCTGAGGTCCCTAAGCTTGAAGGTAGCAGAAAGCCACAACACTACAAAGGAGGAAGGTCGGGCTTGATGACAAAGACAACACAGAGTGTGTAGATCGGAGACCATATTGACGTCTTTTACATCCTTTGAGCACCTGGATCCAGCTATACCTGAAGCCTCTGTCAACTTTTCATTTTTTTCACCTATAACTTAGCTAATCTCTAAGTCATTAAAAACTACCATACTTGCTAAATAAACATACGCAGGGATAGAAAGTAAAGAGAGATAGAGAACACAGACTGAGGGTAACACAGGGGATAACCAGAGGGAAGGCAGAGCACAGCAAGGGACAGAGGCTGAGGCGGGGCAGAGGGCAGGAGTGGCACTCACTGGACCAGGTGGGAGGCCAGGACTTCCTTGCAGATGGGCTGCTCGGCCAGCGTCAGCCAGAACTCACAGGCCTCCAGGGCCACGTTCTCATCATGGTCCTGGGTCCTCTGCAGCATGTACTAGGGCAGAGTGGGAGAAAGACTAAGGCCCGGTCTAGCCAGGGTGCCTCCCCCAACCCGCCGCCTGCCCCCCAGCACGTGTGCGCCTGCCTGGCAGGGCTCACCTGGATAATGCTGTGCATGTGGGGGATGAGCCTGTCAATCCGCACTTCCAGCAGCATCACCAGGGCACGGCACACATTCTTCCGCACCTCAGGGTCATCGTCCACGGCCAGGGCGAACAGGTGCTGCAGGGAAGGTGGGATCAGTGGCAGCATGGCCCTCGGCCCTTGCCCTGCTCACCCCCGGCCTGGCAGCCCACCTCGATGAACGTGTCGATGTTGTCCATCAGCGCCTGGGCCCGGTCCATGATGAACTGGTTCACGCAGGCGATGGCATGGGACCTGGCAGGGAGCCGGCACCTGGGTCAACCCTGACCACGCCCCCTCCAGACCCCTACATCCCCTCACTCCCCCACCCCCAACTGGGAGTCGCACTCACCGGATCTTTGGGCTGCAATGCTTGAAGAACTGTAAGAACTTGGGGATCATGATGTTGAGTGGCCTATTGAGGGCATCACTGTCCAGGAGCTCAGATGAGTCTTCGCAGATCTTCTGCAGGGCTCCGAAGGCTCCCTGAGCGGAGAGGAGTGGGCAGACAGCTGTGAACTCCAGTCCCGTCCCAGCTCCCACCCAGGTGGGCCACAGCTGGTCACCTACCTCACAGGTGTTATAATCCTCCGAGTTGAGGAGGTTGCACAGCTGGGGCAGCAGCTCAGGCCACATCTGCAGCTCGCCCTTGGAAGCGATGGTGGTGATGAGAATGCCTGCGGCAGCCGGGAAAGGACGCTGCCTCAGGCTGGGTGCTGGGTGCGGGCCCGCCGCGCACTCGCTCCTCGGGCTCACAGGCTGTCTGTGTGCAGTCCCCCAGAAGCCCTACCCACTCCTTTCGAGGTCCTCTGAGCCTTACTGTAAGCCAGCTCCGCTGCAGGCTCTGGGATGCAGCACAGAACTAAACGCAAAATCCCTGCTATTGGGAGCTATCTAGTGAGAGAGGTTTCAAGGTAAAAATAAATCAGCAAGGGGCACCTGGGTGGCTCAGTCATTAAGCGTCTGCCTTCGGCTCAGGTCAGGATCCCAGTGTGCTGGGATCGAGCCCCACATAGGCTCCCTGCTCGGCAGGAAGCCTGCTTCTCCCTCTCCCACACCCCCTACTTCTGTTCCCTCTCGCTGTGTCTCTCTCTGTCAAAAAAATAAAATCTCGGGGTGCCTGGGTGGCTCAGTGGGTTAAAGCCTTTGCCTTTGGCTCAGGTCATGATCCCAGGGTCCTGGGATGGAGCCCCACATGGGGCTCTCTGCCTGCTTCTCTGCCTACTTGTGATCTCCGTCTGTCAAATAAATAAGTAAAATCTTTTAATTATACATATATGTATGTGTATATACATACATACATATACATACACATATATATATGTATATATATACATATATATAATGTTTCTTAAAAAGTTAACAAATATAAAAATCAATCAGCAAAAGACCTGGGAGGCTAGGCGCCGAAAGCTAAGGGGGGTTCGTAGTAAAGCAGAAAAGACACAGGCAACGGCTGAGGTTGAGGGCGGCAATTTTTTTTTTTTTTTAGTTTATTTATGTTTTTATTTTTTCAGTAATCTCTACACCCAGCGTGGGGCTTGAACTTATGATCCCGAGATCGAGAGTCTCAGGCTCCTCTGACCAAATCAGCCAGTCGCCCCATTTTAAAAATGGGTGGCTAGAACAGCCCTCACCCAAGGTGATACCTTGCCATCTGAGCAAAGACCTAAAAGAGACGAGGAAGGAGCTGTCCAATTCCTGGGGCAAGAGCGTCCTGCTGCCCAGGCACAGGGAAAGGCAGGTGCGCAAAAGGCCTGGGGCAAGGGCAGAGGGAGGTGGTGAGGGCTGAGAGGGGACAGGCGCAGGTTGTGGCAGCCCGTAAAGCCCTGGGGAGACTTGCAGAAGCCCACGGGCAGCCTGCAATAGGCATGCGCAGCGCGAGGGCCAAGAGGCAGCTGAGCTGAAGTACGGTGAGAGCAGTGCAGAGAGGGTACTGGAAGCAGGAGGTGGCAGTGTTTTCCCAGCAGGGTTAACTCTGCCCCGCCATCCCTCCACATGACCCTGCCTCCTGCTTCTGCTAGGGAAGATGTTACCTGCTCCAGGGAGACTGTGAGGACTTGGGAATGCAGTCCCAGTCCCAGTCCCATCCCTGCCTGTGCGACCTTGGCCACATGGCCCAACCTCTCTGTGGCTCACTGGCGGATAAAAGCACACGCTCCTAGGGTTACTGAAGTTTCAATACCTTAATTCAAACACTCAGAGCAGAACCTAGCTACAAAGTAAACTTGGTAAGTCCAGATCCTTCTGCTGGCCTCACAGGGGGTGTCCTCAGGCCTATGGGTAGCAGGCCCCAAGATCAGGACTTTTAGCAAGACAGTATCTGGCTCAAATTTAATACTATTTTTCTGTCTTTACTGCACATTTTTAACATTGAGTTCCCTTTACTGCAAGCAAATGTCTTTTCTTTTAAAAGTTATATAGAACTTTCTTCTAAAGACAACTTTTAAAAGTTGACATTAATCTAAACAATAAAAACAGAAGTTGGCTGTATGTCAACTACACCTCAGTAAAGGTGGGGAAAGAAGCAAGTCAGTAACAAAGAGCTGGGTTGGTGTTTCTCAGTAGCAAAGTGGCGGGAGGTAGAATTGCTGGAGAATTCTCAGTTGTCCTTCTTTTTTTTAAAGATTTTATTTATTTATTTGACAGAGAGAGAGAGATCACAGTAGGCAAGCAGAGAGAGAAGAGGAAGCAGGCTCTCCACTGAGGAGAGAACCTGATGTGGGGCTCAATCCCAGGAGCCTGAGATCATGAACTGAGCGGAAGGCAGAGGCTTAACCCACTAAGCCACCCAGGCGCCCCCTCAGTTGTCCTGTTATCTTGTTCAAGCAGCCCTCCTGGGGGTCAGGATGGTCCAAACACAAACCAAACTTCCATTTCACCCCATCATTACTGGTGAGAACTAGCTGAAAACACGAACTCCATAGGAGGGAGTGGGGGGCATGCACTTGTCTTCCGAGTGTGCTACACCCTCAGGATCTAAAAAGAATCCTGGATATTGAGTGACCGCCTCCAGAGTGGGAACGGCTGTCTTGGGAGGGAGTGGTTCAGAGCACAGACCAGCGCTAGTTGCTTCTGAGCTCTGCTACTCACCAAATAAGGCCCTTAACACCTCTATACCTTAGTGTCCTCCTCTGAAAAATGGCAACACCAACAGTACTACCACCCACCGTGTACTCGAACAGCCAGTGAATCGATGCCCTTAACACACTGAAAAGCTCCTTCGCTGGGAGTAAGAACTCGGAGTGCCGCCTGCTCTCACCTATGGTAGCTCGGATGAGCGAGGAGGCATCGCCAATGTTGTTCAGGCACTCCTGCTTGATGAAGTCGGCCACGGGGGGTGGAAAGCTCTGGTAATGTGCCTTCACATTGTTCTTAAGGATGAGACCGCTGAGGGAACGAGTTGGCTCATCTGAGGCAGGAAGGCAGAGGGTCAGGGGAGCACGGAGGAGAAAGAGGGGTCCCGCCGGAGTGCGGGGGAGGGCACTGAGAGCATACCTTCTGACTTAAGTCTGGTCAGGACAAAGATCAGGTAGTTGTTGAAGTCGGGAAACTGGTTCAGTTGTTTGAGTTTCTGCCAGGTTGTTAAGGGACTTGGGAGACAAGGGCCTTCCCCAGGTGGGCTCCCTTACTGTCGTGTAGCCAAAAGTCCTTCTGACCACTGGGACCAGGCAGACAGCTCCTGAGACCCCACCCGTCAAGCCCCGGGCCAGAACAGTATCACCAGGCGGGTGGGAGTCAGCAGGCCAGTGGGAGAGCACGCCTCAGCTTCCCATCCACTCTTTCAGACCTGGCTGGAGCAGGAGAGGGTTGCCAGAGCCACTCGGTCCAACCGAGGCAGCAGCTACTCAGTCCTGCTCATAAACAGTCCATGTTGCCTGCTTTTTTAAAAAAAGAAGGGAATCTATGTTTTCAAGTAAAACTTGCTGATAGTTTAAATACCTTAAACTTTAACTTATTAAGTTTAACTATGCATCGCCTGGGAAAAAAAAATGGTAACCACAAACCTAAGCAAAAACTAAGTGCCAGCCCCCTCCCCCACAGGGCCACATTTCCTCTAGAAATGGGACCCAAGAATTCTAATCCCTAATTCTCTGCCAAAGCTAGCTCCTGCCCTAAGAGAGTCTGTGAACTTGGGAATTAGGGAGTCAAGCCCTTTCCCCTGACCTCCAGGGGCTGCAGATGTCTGCTCTGTTCCCCCTAGACCCGGAAGGAAGGAAGGATACGTCCTGCACGATGCGCTGCGTGGCTGTGTTGGGCGACTGCGAGTCCTTGAGCAGCTGCAGGACCTGCTGCAGACCCTGCTCATCTGGCTGCCAGTCCATGGCGCAAGGTGAGCTGCGGGGGTAGGGGCCGGGGGTCAGCACTGAGTCCCAGGGGCCCCGTGTGAGACCCGGACTGAGCCCCCGTGGAGGTGGCTGCAGTGGCAGCGCGACGGGAGCGCCCTCGGCGGACAGGCGGAGGCTGCCAATCCACACCGGCCCAAGTGCGGGGTCCCCGCCAGCTGCGCCATCCACGACCGCACAGTCTTGGGCTCAGGAGCGCAGGTGAGGGAATCTGGAAGCGGGCGGAGGGAGGCGGTGGCGGGGGCCGGTGGGGCCTCATCCGGCCTAGCACGGAGCCTTTGTCCCAGGGCGGCCCATGCCACTTCCCCCCCGCTGAGGGCGTTAAGGCTTCTGCCAGCCTCACGGCCGCCAGGCAAGGCCCCAGCCACCTCTCCATCCAGGGGCCCTGCTCCAGACCGCGATAGCACCCCTGTCCCCGCGATCTCCCTGGTCCAGACACGGTCCCCAAAGTGCCCTCTTCTTCCGAAATCCAGCCCTCAAGCTCCGCCAGATCCCAGGCGCCTCCTCCGCCTCGGTCTGGCCCCTGAGCCTCCCAGATGCACGGTCCCAAGGTACTCCAGTCGTCCCGATTTCTGCCACCTCCCCTCATCCGTTCCTCCAAACGGAGCCGGTTGCCAGACGCTCCTCTTTTTGGCCTAGCCAGACTCCATCCAGAGATTCCCCTTAATCGAGTCCGAAGCAATCCCCGGACAGGTCTTAGTTGCCTCTCGGAATGAGAGCCTGCCAAGCCCGCCACCCTGTGAAAGATGACACCTGGACAGGTCCCTGTCGCTTTCCCCAATCAGGTCTGGCCAAGTCTCCCCACCACCACCACCTCCTGCCCTAGTCAGCACTAACTCCTGCTGGCAGATCTCTGTTGTTTCCCCCAATCAAGTTTGGACAAGGCCCCCACCACCTCGAAGTCGAAACCCACTTCTTCCGATCTCTGCAGCTTCCCTAGTTAGGCCTGGCCGAACACCTCCCAGAGCACTCCCTTCAACGGATCCTAGCGACGCCTCGAAGTCAGACCTAGGAAAGCCATCTGGAACCAAGTCCGACGACCCTCCTTCTCAGGGTCCAAGAAGACCCCCAACTTCTCAATGAGACCTCACCCAACCAGATCCAACCAAAGCCCTGTCGAAATACACCCCCCAAAACACACACCCGATCCTCGCGCCGTTCCCCAATCAGGCCCTAAGCAGTCCCCAAGCGCTTCCCCCAGATCCCCTCCAGCCAGAACCCAGCCGCCCCACTGGCCCGATTCTCGAAGCACCAGGGTCTCGCCCGGCTCCGAGGCCCCGCCCCCTAGCCCCAGCTCGGTTTCCCCCTCCCCCGCCCCAGCCCGTTCTTACTGCCTAGCGAATAGGGCCCAAACCAGGTTCTCGGCCTTTCCCGGTCAGGCGCGGCTCCGACGGCCGGGCCGCGCGCGATGAAGATCCAGAGCCCCGGGAGAGTCAACGCAAGCCCGGGCTCAGCCGGTCGGACTTCGGGTAAGGCCCACTTACCCGGCTCCGGGTGGCAGCAGCGGCGCCGTGCGCTGCGGCTTCTCCTGAGACTCCCGCGAAAGGAGGGAGCCAAAGAGAGGGAATGAAAAAAAAACGCGGCCGTGGATGAACCACGGCGGCTTCCGTACGCCGTTCAAATTGACTCAGCCGAGCCAATCGAAAGGCACAGCCGTAACACGTGGCCCGGCACGGGGGAGACCCCGGCCCCGCCGAGGCCGGGTCACGTGACCGAAGTGTGGGTGGCTCGCCTGGCCTCTCTGGCCGTTCGGTCTTCCCAGCGTCTCGTTTTCTCAGCGTCTCTCACGCCTGCCAAACAGCCGCTTCCTTGCTAGGAGCTGAGTTTTGTGGCGCGTGGGACTTTCGGTGCTTGGTGGGCCCGTGAACCTCTCGGCCACAGCCAGTTGTGCCTTTCACTCCCTCCTCTACGAATAGAACTGGGCCTTTCCCCGCGCATCTAGAAGTTTCTGAGAAGAGCACAGTAGGTGTTCTCAAGGAAAGATCGGAGGGAATTCCTGAGCCTGGCGTGAATATTAGACCCCCAGACACAAAGGAAGGACTAAGCCACACAAAGGGAGTGCCTAAGATAGGCTGCGTTCCTGCAGAAGCCTCAGCCACGTTTTGTGTATTTATTTTCCAGTACTGTTTGATCCTTTTTACAAGGATATGAGAAAAACCCACAAGGATATAAAATTCTAAACGAAATGAATCAACGCTGAAGTGAAAGGCCTAACCTCTTTCCCTACCTGAAGCTGAATGAGATAAAACAGACCAGGAAATTTAGGCAAGGGCAGGGTCATGGTGAAAGACATCATAATCTTTGCGCCATCAAAGAACAAAGTAGGGCACCTCTTTTAAGAGTGGAGCAGCAGACGAGGGAGAAGCTAGAGACCCTGGGCCCTCGGTTTCCCCATCTCCTGGCCAGGCTGATAAACAGATAGGCAACCAAAAAAAAAAAAAAAAAAAAGAAGAAGAAGAAGAAGAAGAGGCAACCTAAAGGGCCACTCGGGAGTCTTAGAGTCCCGGCTAGTCAAATGGGCTTAAGCCTAGTTTGCTGGGTTAGAGATCACCAAGTTAAGCATTACGAGGCCCGCTGCAAACTGTTCTTTGAAAACTTGGCTTTTACCCTGGGAGTCTCAAGGCCATCCTTTCATTGTATTCAGCCACGCCCTAAGCCAATATTTACTGATTTTAATCAACTAGGCCTCTAATCTCCAAGGACAACCCAGCCCGCCTTGAGGAACTTTTTGGCTCCAGGAGTAGCAGGTCAGTTTTTGGTCCAGCCTGAAGGAAGGGGACTGGTTTCTCAGCCAACTTCCCCTTAGCCAAAGTCAGTGCCCCTCTGTTCATTTATGGAAAAAAGGTACCTAAGTCCTCTCCTTCCAACTAGTACTGGGGCCTTCCAGACTTGGGAAGGGTCGGCTGGCGCCTAACGCCAGTCGGAGACTTACTAAAGGAGTAATCGGGTTTTACTTATTAAAACCGAAACCGGGTGGAGAGACACGTGCAGAAAGCGGCCGCTCACGCATGCGCAATGGCCTTCCCGCGCACACCCTGAGGAGCTGGAACTACAAATCCCGTCTCACCGTGCGCCCGCGTCACCGTGCCTACGGATTCTGGCTATGGCTCAAAACCTTGTGGTTCGGAGAAACGCCCCCCTCCCCCCACGCCAGCCCACCTCCCCGCTGAAGGTGGGCGTTAAGCTGAAGGAAGAGTGATATTGAGGGACTGGGACTGGAAGTTTCGGGAGGGGGTGCTAATGGAGTTTTCTGCTCAGGGTTGGGAGTTGCCCCAGATAAGGGTCAGATGGGAAGAGGGCTGGAGATGAGCGAGAGAATTTAATGCTCACCGTCTCCTGTTTATGTGTCAAGTTTCCAGTGGTCCTGCGCAAGCCTCGGGAGCGAGGAGAGTCAGAATAAAGAGACCCCTGCTGTCTTTGCGGTCCACGATACTAGCCCTCGTATAATCACAAAAGTCTTTCTTCCTACTCCCAGCTAGTGGATTTAAGTTCCGAATCCAGGCTTTTCCCCCATTTCTTTTACTTTACTTTTGTTTTTTAAGTAGGCTCCATGCCCAGTGTGAGGCTTGAACTCACGGCCCTAAGATCAAGAGTTACATGCTCTACCGACTGAGACAGCCAGGCACTTCATATCCCTATTTCTTAAGCACCTACTTTACTGCCTATCTTAACAGACCTGTACACAGCAAACTTACTCCAAACTAGAAGCGCTCAGTACAAAAAAAAAAAAAAAAAAAAAAATCAAGGAGCCGGTGCCCAACCGTCAATCTGAGATGGGAGACAAAGTCCTCTCCATTTACAACAGCCTCCCTGTCCGAGCATCTCTTCACAAGGCACCCACGTTTAAAGGTCACCATTTCTCAAACAGGTCCCCCAACCCAAGCCAATTGCTTCACTTGGAGAAACAATGACAGCTGTTTTAAATAATGTCAGGGTTAATGTTGACTTCAATATTGCCGTTATTTTAGAACTTGACTGTAGAGATGCTTCCGTATTCTACCCCTATTATTTATTTATTTAAGAAGGTGAGAGAGAGAGCACACAAAGGGAGAGGGAGGAGAAGCAGACTCCCTGCTGAGCATGGAGCCCGATGTGGGGCTGTATCCCAGGACCCTGGGATGGTGACCTGAGCTGAAGACACTTAACCGAATGAGCCACCGACGCACCCTTACCCCTGTTTTAGACATGAAAAACTTAAAACACAGAAAGGCTGTTACTTACCCAAGATCACACCAACTAACAGGCACCAGAATAGTTTGAAGCCGCAGCTGTGCCACTCACCAAACCCCGAATTCGATTGTCCTCCCCTTCAGACTTTCCCCGGGTCAGGACAGGTGAAAGTAGTGAAGGGGGATGCTGGGACTCCATCAGCATCTCCTGCCTCCTGACACTCCAGAAAAGAGGCTGAGCTGCTGCAGGGGCGACCTACTTCTCCCACTTGTGTTTCTTTTTAAAGATCCAGTGGCTGCTGGTGCCTTTGAGGAAGGAGGTAAGGGTGGCACATTGGCTGCCTATGTCCCCTCCCCCAACACTACATCCCCAAGGCTAAAGTTACACCTGGGCCAGTTCACCATCCCCAAAGTAGGAGGGAGAGAACTTTGAGCCAATGTGGAAAATATTAAATTAGACAAGTCTAAGTGTATTAGCCAGAAATGAGAGGGGCAGGTCTCCTGTTCCAAAGCCTGCTTGTGCTTTTCTCTTTAACAAGCCAGGCCATCTTTCAGCTCAGGGTCTTTGTACGTGTTCCTTTGGCCTTGAATACCTCCCAGGATCATCTTTAATGCCTTCAGAACTTAGGAGAAGTGTTACCTTCTTAAGGAGGCCATCTCTCCCATTGATCTTGGTTCCCCTTTCATACCTCTCCCCCCCCCATAGAATGTATAACCATTTGATGTGTTCTGTGTTCTATTTTGTTTCCTGTTTGCTTCCTCAACTAGAATGTTAGTCCCACTGGAACAAGGAGTTTCGCCTGTTTTGGTGCTTAGTATTTGGAATGCCCCACCCAATTTCCCATAGGCCGGAGCTGGCAGTCTGAGGCCAGGTGGGTACCATACTACCTCATCTGTCCTCCCTCTGCCTACGCGGGTCTCAGGTACCTCATGGCCACCATGATCCTCCTGATGGACAGGGATGGGAGCCTGAATTTGGGATGAGCAGGAGTGGCAAGCTGCTCAGCATTCCTGCATGGGAAGGTCTGGGAGGTGAGCCCATGACTGGGGGACCCACATGTGGCTCCAGGTCTAGAAGGTTTGAGAAGGGAGGTTTGGGAGGCAAGGACCTCTTAAAACATTTGTGGGCTCAGTGGGGGAACAGGCAGTTAGGCAGTTTCCAGGAAGGCCCAGAAGTATAAGGAGCACTAAAGGGGCACTAGGGAAGTCAGGCTTCCCTTAAACACCGTGTCCCCTGATATGTCAATAATCATGTTCTGCAAAATGGTGTTTGTGCTCTTTCTGATCATATATTATACACAAGGGTGGGGTCAACCGAGCCTCACTGGAGAGGCTGCAAGAGCAACCCCACCAAATCCAGATCCCAGCCCTCCTCACCTCAACCGCCAACATTCCACCACCTCCCCTCCCCAAATCATGGCCCAGCCTCATCTCCAAGTTCTGCCCCAGCAGCCAGAGGGGGCCTGTTAAGACAGATAACACATAACCTATTGCTCCTTAGCTCATACTGCCCCCGCAACAACGAAGACTTCCTCTTACCAAGAATGAAGTCCCAAATCCTGACCCAACATACAAGGCTGTGTATATAATCCACACCCTATCCTCTTTAGGTCCAATTATGTGGGCCACCTTGAAGCTCCCCACAAAGGCCACCCGTTCTCCCACCCGTTTTTATACTGGCTGTTCCCTCCACCTGCTTCCTCACCTCCCTGAGGACTCAGATCAGATGTCAGGAGAAATAGACAACTTTCCCCTAGCCTCTACCCTGTATTTCTTCCCAGTCACCTCCCAAAATGGCTTCCCCTTTTTGTTCGTTTCCTTCCAGAAGGGCAGGGAGTGTACATGGTCTGTTCTTTTCACTCTTATGGCCCCAAGGTCCAGAACAGCACAGGCACACAGTAGGCATTCATCAAGTGTCAGCTGAATGAAGAAACGGACAGTTCTGGCCCGGCCAAATAGGGCTGTGATGGGGCACTGAGCGTGAGCAGCAACACTGGAGCTCTGTCAGGGGTAGGGGGAAATGGGTCCTGAGGAGAGTCTCATCACCAACAGGAGGGGATGCACCCCTGTCTGCCCTCCACCCCCAAATAAACCCCTCACCAAGCAAGACCCAGGACCAGGTGTAGAACCAGGCAATGGGAGGAGGGAGTGCTTCGGGTGGAGAACAAAGAAGGCAAACCAAGCACACAGCTCCGGCACTAAGTCAAGTTCTTTACTTCCCAGAAGTGATGGCTAAGGAGGGGTGGGGTGGGGTTGGGGTGAGGAAGACAGAAAGAGCCAGAGAGAGCAAGGAGGTGGGGGGACAGTAAACCACTGTTCTATAAGTCTCAGGAGGCAAGTGCTCAAGGTAAAAAAGAGTCCTGGAGAATCATCCGCGGCTGCGGGAAGCATCTCGATTTCCTTCTGTGTAGAAGTCCTTGGGGGGGAAAGGCTGCCGCCGCTGCCGCTGCATTAAATAGTTATGTACATCGCAGAGAGTCCCAGGCCGTAGGCAGGCGGGGGAAGGGGGTCATTTCACCAGGGGCCGAGTTTTATCATCATCGCCACACTGATGGGCTTTGTACTTTTTCACCTCTGCCATGTACTTGGCCCACGCATCACCTTTACTTGTTAATACCTGTGGGTGGGGAGGGGGGCATATAGGGGTTGCAAGGGGATACCAAGGCGGCCAGGAACTGGGGTCAGGACTGTCCTGAGACAGCTGACCCCCCCCCACACACACACACCCTGCATCACCCTTAAGGTCCTGGGTTCGAGGTAAAGATATGCAGAGTCCGTTCTTCTGGGGATCCCGTTGAAAGCCTCCTCCCCCACCCAGTCCCCGCATCCAAGGCCCCGGGAGCTGGACAGAGAGGGAAAGGGCTCAGCAGCCAGGCTAAGGCTGGAAGGGAAAGGCGCCGCGGGGGGGCCCCACAGCCAGCCTGCTCACCTCATCCTCCGTCTTCTGCTTCTTGGCTACTATTCCCGTCTTGAGGGCTAGTTTGTTTCCGCCTCTGCGCTTGCCCACCTGGGTGAAGGGACAGAAGACTGCAACGGTTACAGGAGCCGGGCCCGCCCTTGGCGGCGCTGAGGCCCACTACACCTTCCTAGCCCGGCCCGGTGGCCCGTCCCGACGCCGCGCCCAGCTCCGCCAGCCGGCCAACCTGCGCAGCAATCAGAGAGGAGCACACGCGATTCTTAGCGCCTGCCCTGGGCCCATGATGCCCTGGCAGTCGTGGGCCCCTGGGCTGCCCTCCCCAAAAGCAAGAAGAACCCCCACAGGCTGTCCTCTCTTTCCAGGCCGAACCCTCACCCTCCCCTAGCAGGGACCGCACAGGCAGCAACAGTTCCCTTTACTGAGCACTTACTGTATGCTAAGCTCTGTGCCAAGTACTTTCGATGTATCATCCTTCACTTTCACAGCTGCCCTAAGAGGAAGGTTACAACCATCCCCATTTTGTAGATGAGGGAACACCTTTGAGAAGGAAGAGGGCCTATCCCTGGTTGGCAGCAAACAATGGAACTGGATTTAGGGTCAGATGGGTCCAAGCCACAGAGCAGTATCCTTACCCACCAAATGACACTGTCTCCCCTGCACCAAACCTGGCCTGTTTAAGAGTGCCCCTTGGTGAAGAAAATAAAAAAATCAGTGACAACTACTGCTACTCCCACTCACAAAGGGTCACTCAGCCTCCACCTCTGGTTCTTACACCAAGCCAAGAACGTAGGTCCTGACACACTCTCTTCTGCCAACGTAAGTCTCACCCCAGACCTCATCCTAGTCCTCCTTCTCCCACCAACTGAGCACTTTGTGTCCACAGGCAGCAACAGTCTTCACAGGCTTCATCCCATCTCTACCCCACCACCAGGCATCAAGTAACCTGTGCTGTTGGGACTATCCCCACTCACTTTTAACAATGAAGAAAATGAGGCTTAGAGAAGTTAGATCACTTGCCCAAAATCACACTGTTAGCGCTAAGACCTGACCTCCAGTCTGTTACTCTCAAGTCAACACTTTTCTCCACACCACAGGGACTTGACCTCTGAAAAAATTAATATCTGGGCTGTGAATTAGCTACTTTTTCTTTTATTTCCCCCCTTTTTTTCTTTTTTCTTTTTTTTCCTTCTTTTGGTTGTTAAAGATACTTTTAAGTATCTCTCTCTTTTTTTTTTTTTTTAAACAGGCTGTACACCCAACATGAGGTTTGAACTCTAGACCCTGAGATCAAGAGTCGCATGTTCTACTGACTGAGCCAGCCAGGCGCGTTCATGGATTCGATCTCAATACCAGAAACAAAGCAAGCTCAGAGTGGACCATCAATATAGTTGCCATTTATTTAGCCTAGAATTTCTTGACCTCACACTGGTGGCATTTTGAACTGGATCATTTCTGCGGACAGGGGGCTATCCTGTGCATTGTAGAACACTGAGCAGCATCTCTAGCCTTTACTCAGAGATGTCAACAGCACCCCTCCCCCAATTCTGACAACCAAAAATTTCTCCAGACTGCCAAACTGAAGGGGTTTGGGAGGGAGGGGTGTTCATTCCCAACTAAAAGCTACTGGTGCTTTAGCTCCTTCTATAAGACAAAGCCAGTACTAACCTCCGGGATGGCCTTACAGAACCCTCATCACATCACAACATGCGATGGTAACCATATTTGCAAATGGGAAAATTGAGGGTAGGCCAGCCCAGACACTCCAGGAAAGCAAGGATCTTGTCATGGTCAACACGGCACATCCAGCACCCAGCACAATGCTCAGCATAAGGTGCTCAATAAATGGACACTGGAGGAATGAGACTCAGGGAAATAGAGCAAATTTCCTAAGGTCACACAGGAAGCTCTGAGTCTTCAATCCACACAGCTCAGATTCCAGATTTGAATTTGCCCCTCTTCCCCATAGTGGGAGATGGTCCCAGTACCCAAGTTTAAGTACCACTCAAATAGGAATCCCGGTATCCTGATTTCCCCATCCCCGGAGCGCTGTTTCGAATGCAATTCCCTGGCTCCCGGTCCCCGCGGGCGGGCGGGCTCAGGGGGTCCCCACCCCCGCCCTCAGACCTCTCGTCGAGAATCCAGGTTCCGGATCCTCAGCGGGCGACCGGACGACCCTCTCACCGGGGCCGGAGGGTGGACCCGGATCCCGATACCCTTTCTCGGGCCCCGATTCCCTCTGCCAAGGCAGGCCCTGGCGCCCGCCCCCACCCCCGCGGCTCCTTACGAAGCTGAGCGTGGGGCCCGGGCCGCCCTTCCTCTTCAGATCCCCAGGGCCCGCGGCGGCAGCGGCGGCAGCAGGCTGGTCGGGTCGCGGCGGGCCCGGGGGCGGCTCCTCCTGCCGCTGCCGCTGCTCCTCCTCCATCTTCCGCTTGAACAGCTCCAGGAAGCTGCCGTCGTTGGCGAACAAGTTCACACCGCCCGACACTGGGCTAGAACCCGCGCCCGACGCTTCCTCGTCCCCGCTCTCGGGCGACGTCCCGGGCCCCGACTCAGCCCATCGGCTCCCGACGACGCCGCCGCCCGCGGGGCCCGGCGCCTCCCGGCCCGGAGGCTCCGCCCGTCTCCCTCGGGCAGCCATTTTGTCGCCAGGTGCCGCGCAAAGGACTCCGGGAAGGCGGCTCCGGCCCGGCGCTTGGCGCCCGACTTGCCCTGTCCCGGGCAATGCATGCCGGGAAAAGCGGTCTGGCCCTCCAGCGTCCGCAGCAGGGGCGGAGTATAAGGGGCGGGGCGAACAAGGGGGTAAAACCTGACGCTAAGGGCCAGCCCAGCCAGCCACGCGGATTTTTATAATCCAGGTAGAATTGGGCAGGCGTTAAACGCAGTCTCCCCGGGAAGGGAACCATTGTCTGGGCCTGGGACTGTAGCTGGCTCTCCGGAGTGAAGTTCCCACTTGAAACTGGGAGCACATTACCTTTCCAGGGCTCCCTTATTGCACTAGAGATAATCTCCCTTCTGGCCCCAGGTTTAATCTCTGTGAGGGAAAGGACCCCGTCTGAGAGTGTGTGTTCAACTGACACCTCGAAACCGAGGTCCCGAACTCCGTCTAGAGGGCATATCTAGTCTAAGCGCACACCACCCCGAATAAAAATGGGGATGTCTCTGGTTTGGTTGGGTACCTGCCGCTGGAACGGAGCTCTCATTTGGGAATGGCAGTACAGCTGGCTTAGTGGAGGTGGGGTCCCCACCTGAAAATAAGGATGTTACGGGCTGAAGTGCTCAAAAAAACTCGCGGGAATTTTTTGACTATAGTCTATCTAAGTGTTCTCCAAAGGCCTGGGACCCAGCGGTATTCCTGCCCAGGACAGGGGTTCAAACAGAATTCGCTGGAATCTCCCCTTGAACAGAGAGCAAAGTGAGAGAAGGCTTCCGGGAATAGGGTCCCTTCTGCGACGGGGAGCGCAGTTGCAGGTGTGGTCTCTGCCCTGGCCTGCCCAGCATGGGGCTCAGGGTGCCCTGGACGAAGATCTATGGACCTCGCCCACAACCAGAGTAACTCTCCCTCTAGCCCAGTTGCGGTCCAGGGACCTGTCTTCGGCCAACGAATCGGTTTGTCTGTGATTGGTTTGCGTCAAGAGCCAGGTGGCTCACAGCCAATTGGATAGCAGAAGAGACGGACCTGAGGCGATGTTGGGACCCAATTTAGAGAATAAGGACAAATGATCGACATGAAGTTGAACCTATGGAGTCAGGCCAGGGCGGACCTCGGATATAACTTCATGGAAAGGGCATGGACAGGGTGTTTGGCTGGTTGCTAAGGAGAGGATGGCGGCTACCGGAACGTAAGACTGATTGGTGAAAGTGAGAAAAAATGTAGCCAATGAAAGGAGAGCTGAGAGACTTGGGAACCAGTCAGAGAAGGGGAGTAGTCTGAAAAGTACCAATGGGTTAATTCGGCAGGGGGAGTCTCTGAAAAAACTTAGACAAGAGGGCGACAAAGTGAATCCTAGAAAAGAAAGACATTGGAAATATAGCTTCTGTTACCTCCTAAAAGTCAGGCCATGAGGAAATTAATTCAGGCTCCTGGACTTGATGGGTATGTGCTAGGCAATTTCCCCTGTAGGTTCTTTTCATGGTGCGCTCCGCTTGATCACGTGAGCCGGTTCCAAGATGGCGGCAGGGGTGGCCGGGTGGGGGGTTGAGGCAGAGGAGTTCGAGGATGCGCCTGATGTGGAGCCGCTGGAGCCCACGCTTAGCAACATCATCGAGCAGCGCAGCCTTAAGTGGATCTTCGTCGGGGGCAAGGGTGGCGTTGGCAAGACCACCTGCAGGTAAGGAAGCTGCGGCGGGGGCCTGGAAGACGGGTGGGATGTACCACCGGGCGAAGGGGAGGAGGCTCCGGAATGGCTCTTCCACCCCAAGCCAAGCAAGCGGGCTGGACCGGGGTCTTCCAGACTGTACTCCCAGAAGTTACCTGGGGCAAATGGAAGATATTGCCTGAATGCAGGCTTGAAACCCTCTGATTTGGACCGCCCCCGTTGCGGCTCAAGGGCAGACCCACATTGAACCCAGCGCACGGGAGCCAGGAGAGCACTTAGGTGTCCCAGTCAGCTGGACCGTACCAGAGTGAGCTCGGAGTAGGGGGAGGGGCAAACTATTCTAGTCGGGCGAACCTTGACATTCTCTGGCCAAGTAGGGGTAGAGGTGGTAGGCGGGAGGGGAGGCACGTGATTAGACCATTCCTGTCAGCTGGGCGGAGGGGGTTGGGGTCCCTGGGGCAAATTATCCTGAACCCTTCTGAATTTAGCGGGCGATGCAAAGGACCCTTTAGCTTAGCGTTTAGGGAGGGGGTACAGGGTCAAGCCAGGCTGGCTGGACAGCTGAACCGTGCCACTCTGTGCCAACAAAGAAGCAGCAGGCTCCAGGCCAGACCAACTCAGACAGCTGAACTTTATCACTGTAGACACCCAGAGGGTTCCGTAGGTGAAATCTGAGAGGGTCCCTATACAGGGATTAAGTCTTGATTCCACAATTATCCATATTCTTTCCCAAGGCCCCTGTCAATCCAGATCCCCTGCTCCTGGACCCTCTATAACCCCTTGCAGACCTAGGGAGCAGAGCCGGACCCCTCACTCCCTGCCTTTTGAACTTTCCCTTGCCTAGCTGCAGCCTAGCAGTCCAGCTGTCCAAGGGGCGGGAGAGTGTTCTGATCATTTCCACGGACCCAGCCCACAACATCTCTGATGCATTTGACCAGAAGTTCTCCAAGGTGCCTACCAAGGTTAAAGGCTATGACAACCTCTTCGCCATGGTGAGTGGAGCCGGGCTCAGCTCCCCACTCTGGCAAAGGCCCTTCAGGCTCTCTCTGTGAACACCCACCATCAGCTACCATGTCCTGCACGTTCTCCATCATCCCTCAACATACCCACAGGACAACAATTGATGAATGTTTGCAGAACAGAAAGGAGGATGGCGTGACCAGAGTTTAGTGAACGAGGGGAGGGAAGGAGATATCATAGGTCAATCACAGCTACATGGTACGGATCTTGTAGGCCACTGGGAACAGCTATGTTTGATTCCAAGTTTAATAAGAAGGTGTTCATTTTAAGTAGGCCAATGTCATGGCCAAATTCATTTTTCAGAAGATTCCCTATGGCTGCCATGCAGAGAAACTCAGGTGGGGGCAGAATGCTGGGAGAATTGGTCAGGGGAGGAAGAAGTAGTGGGCTCCAGCAGGCACATCAGATCTAGAGAGACCACTTTGGGAGTGGGCGCAGAAGCCTGCCCAGAGTGAGTGAGCTGAGGAATGGAGACAGTGATCGCCATCATGGCAACTGAGAAATAGGGCCATTGCTGGAGGCAGCTGGGGGTAGGTGTTGTTACGGAGGCTTTTTTTGGGGGGGAGGGGCTGGAGAAAGGAGATGCTGGAGCATGTTTGCTGATGCAAATCCTCCAACAGGAAGGGACAAGTGAGGCTGCGGGAGGGAGCAAGGATGCTGGCTGAGAATGGTCCTCAGGCAGGTCGGTGGGTGTAAATTTCATTCAGCTCTCAGACTCAGGACATGGAGGCAGGGCAGGGTGGAGACACGGGGGCCTTTCCTGTGGGGAGATAAGGGTCTTGGCAGCCAGTGGCTTCTTTTTCCAATCAGGCACAGCACTGGTCTTAGCAGAGAGCAGGGGGTGAATGGGATGGATAGGGTTTAAGGAGAAAGAAGAAACTCCTGAGGGTGTGTCTGGCTCAAGTGCCTGTTGGGGATTGTGTTCAGGAATGGGGACCAATGTGAGAAGTGTTTCTCAGGTGCGTTCCCCAGCTGTTCACCTCGGTGCAGCCATCCCAGAGAGCTAGGAACGAGAGTGGGGATGTTGCCAGCCACAGGACAAAGTAGGCACCCTGTGAAGTCCAGGCTGAATAAGGGTGCCGGCCACAAGGGACACTGACAGTGAACAATGGGGACAAGATGGCCCAAATAGGTAGGAGGCAAGGAGGCCCAGGATAGAGAGAGTGAGGGGTGGGAGCTTAGAGGTGGCCCAGTTACGGGCAATAACCCATCAAGGGTGTGACTGTTGGGGGTGGTGGGTGGCAAGCTCCCTGCAGGGAAATGACCCCTGAGGCCAGCGAGTTGGGGGCTTCACCATGGGCCATGTGAAGTCCCCAAGAGCTGACATGGGAGGAGGATGAAGAGAGAGGCACCGAGTCCGGGGCAGACCAGACACCCCGGGGACAGTTGTCCCTTCATGGCTTCCACATACGTGTAGAGGGCCCGCTATGGGCCAGACACTTCTGGGTGCCCGGGACACAGCAATAAACACAGAAAAACCCCTGTCTTCACAGTGCTGACAGCTGATAAAGGTGATAAACGTGATGAGTCAACCATGTGAGGAGGGGTGGGGGCAGCTGGGGCGGCATTGTTAGACGGGATGGTCAGGGAACGATCTTGTTAGAGAAATGATCTGCACAAGGTCAGGGCCCCAGCTGGGGAAACAGCCAGTGCAAGGGCCCAGCCGTGGGCTTTGACTCCCCTCTGGGGCACTGATCACGGTTTACAGCTTTCCATTTGTTTGTGAAACGGTTTGGCCGCTTGCGTGACCACACGGGACCTGAGGGGCCGGGGGAGGGCCCAGCGATGACCTGACGGGGAAGGCTGGCACTCGGGGCCCTTTGTGGGCTCTCTCGCCTGCCGCCTGGGTGAGAAGGCCTGACAGGAGCGGCAGCCTGAGTCCTGAGCCCTCGGCCCTCAGGAGATTGACCCCAGCCTTGGCGTGGCTGAACTGCCTGACGAGTTCTTCGAGGAGGACAACATGCTCAGCATGGGCAAGAAGATGATGCAGGAGGCCATGAGCGCCTTCCCCGGCATTGATGAGGCCATGAGCTACGCAGAGGTCATGAGGTCAGGCCCGCGCAGCGGGGGCGGGCGCCGCCGGGGCCGGGGTGGACCGGGGCAGTCAGGCCTGACCCTCGCCTCCCGCGCAGGCTGGTGAAGGGCATGAACTTCTCGGTGGTGGTGTTTGACACGGCGCCCACAGGCCACACGCTGAGGCTGCTCAACTTCCCCACCATCGTGGAGCGGGGCCTAGGCCGCCTCATGCAGATCAAGAACCAGATCAGCCCCTTCATCTCACAGGCAGGCAGGGCCCCAGGGCTGCCGGGCCCCTGTGTTGGAGTGTGCGGACGCGCGGTAGCAGAGGCCTTCGCCACACACGCCCTCTCAGTCCGCGGTTCCCCGTGGTTGGGATGGCTCTTTCCCATGGGGGTGGAGGGAGACTGTCCGCCTAGTCCGTAGCATTTGTGTCTTGCCCCTACCCACGGAGTGCTCCAGGCAGAGCTTGGAGACCCCTCCTCCTGGGCCAGGTGGCTCTGGGCCTCCCCTCCCTTGTCTGCCAAATGGAGGCCATACGTGGGTTGTTATTAGCATGACAACCCCGGTGCCTCCACATTTCAGCACACCACCCCCCTCCCCCTTGGTGGTGTGTGGTCCCCCCTACAGGGACTTGGGCCTCAGTACCACAACTGTTGGAGGAAAGGTCTACCTGTGAGAGAACTGAGGCTCCAGGAAGTCAAGCCCTCTGGCCACAAGCCCCCGGAAGTGCCCGAGCTGAGTTGACCCCAGTCTGCTTGAGGGCCTTTAACTCCAGGAGGTGTCAGAGGTTATTTACTGGTATTTACTGCGTCCCCAACTTGCATGCGGTAAGGCATCCCAGGTAAGCTGTGAGCCCCCCCCCCACAGATGTGCAACATGCTGGGCCTAGGGGACATGAACGCAGACCAGCTGGCCTCCAAGCTGGAAGAGACGCTGCCTGTCATCCGCTCCGTCAGCGAACAGTTCAAGGACCCTGTGAGTCATGGTACGGGCGGGTGGTGAGAGGCTTGGGATGGGGACAGGGCTGGAACTTGCCCCTTGCTGTCCTCCCTCATACCCTGTAGGAACAGACAACGTTCATCTGCGTGTGCATTGCTGAGTTCCTGTCCCTGTACGAGACGGAGCGGCTGATTCAGGAGCTGGCCAAATGCAAGATCGATACCCACAACATCATCGTCAACCAACTCGTCTTCCCTGACCCCGAGAAGCCCTGCAAGATGTGTGAGGCCCGCCACAAGATTCAGGCCAAGTACCTGGACCAGGTGTGCATGCCCCACTGCCTGCCTAGCCCTCACGCCTTTGACCCTGGAAGCTGGGGCCTGGTCCAGCCCAACCGAGGCCCCATGGATCAGTTACTGTATTCTCTGACCTTTTACTCCGTCCTGTCTTCTAACCCTCTGCCCCAGCCTCCTGCTTTCACCCTAATTCTGGCTCTTGAAGACAATAGCTGGCCTGGCCTGGTACCTGTGACCCCAGGGTGGGGGAGGCCCGGCTCAGTGATCTCTCACCTTACTGGTCTCACCCCCACCTATCAGCATGTGAAGCCCCTGCCCCACATTCTCCCCTGATCCTGGGAGCCCCCCAACCCAACTCCTCCCATTGACCCACGTTCTGTCCCTGCCCTACAACCCCCTGACCGCCACCATCCGCCCTATGCCCTGGCCACAGATGGAGGACCTGTATGAAGACTTCCACATTGTGAAGCTGCCGCTGCTGCCCCACGAGGTGAGGGGGGCAGACAAGGTCAACACCTTCTCTGCCCTCCTCTTGGAGCCCTACAAGCCCCCCAGTGCCCAGTAGCACTGCTGCCAGCCCCAGTCGCTACCATTTCACACCCACCCTCCATCCCCCCCCCGGGGGGGGGCAGAGTTTGCACAAAGTCCCCCCCCATAGTATAGGGGGAGCCACTTGGGGGGCGGGGGGCGGGGAGGAGGTCTGTTCCCCCTGGTGGGGCTGAGGGGGCTATAGCTGCCCCCACCTCTCCCTGCCTCTCGCCCCTCAATAAAATGATCTTAAACCACTGTGGATGTTGATGTAGAGGGGTTAGGGGTCAGCACCTTTAGGTACAGTTGCACAGGGTGTACACTGCACAAAGATGGCACATCTAGAGGCACCAAGTCACACCAGAGATCTAAGAGAGGTGTATGTTTATTATGGTAACTTTGGAAGGAGGGTATCTTCTTTTTAAGAGAGTGTTTTTTTCTAACTCAGTGGGTAGCAGTGTCCCTGCTGAGCCTATAAAATCTGTAGTAGAAGGGGAGCATCTGCCTGCTTCCTTTGAGGTTCAGAGCGTGGGAACTGGGAGGCCCCTTGGCCAGCCCTAGGCTGGTAGGGAACGGATTAGGCAGCAGCGGGCCCAGCACTGCCTGCTGTTTGGTTTAGGAATTAGTGGGCACCCTGGGCAGAGGTTGGGCCTGCCAGACTGAGGATTAACAGTCTCCGCCCCATGATTCCTGTTCCCATGGGATGGCATCAGCTCTTCCCAACACAGGGCTGCAACAGGGGGCTAATTAGGAGGCAGGATGGAAGAGGACTCAGGTCAGGTGGGCCCCTGAAGTCCTATCTGCCTAGAGAGCAGCCTCACTGGGTGATAGGCAGCATGCTTCCTGAAGTTTGAACTCCTGTCCTTTTATCCCTAAAATGGAAACATAAAGTGTGGCCATTCAGAACCATGGCAAAATTGGCCAGACCTTGGAAGGGTTTAGCACACCAGCTTGGAAGGCATTTAGTGGGCTCCCTTACCCCTTCACTTCTCCCCCCTGCCACTGCCTGGACAGCCAGTGTCATCCCCACTTGAGAGACCCAAGACTAGGGCATTTGCAAGTTCCAAGCCAGAGCTGGTTCGAGGGGACAGAAAGAGGATGCCTGAGGACATGCATGAGTCAGGAAGTGGTGTTCAGGCTGCACACGGGTGTGCCAGGGTGTGCGTGTCAGGGGAACCCAGCCCCGAGCCTAGACGTGTCTCCCCCCCCCCCAACCACCACCACCATTCCACTGGGTGTGTGCAGGCAGGCGTGGACAGGTTGGGGTGGCCCTTGTAAACAAATACATGGTGCAACCTGTGACAGACCCCAGGCTCTGAGCCAAACTGCCTGAGTTCAAAAACCAGCTGTGCCTCAACCCGTGTCATCTGGGCCTCAGTTTCCCTACCTGGATAGTCGGAATAACAAAAGCACCGGTTTCGTAGGTCCACTTGTAAGGACTCCGTGAGATGAAGTAAGCAGCGCCAGGCTCCACCAGGCACAGAGCCGCCAAGGAGTGTTTGTTATTCTTCGCTGTAACAATTATTCCTCATGTGAACTAGCCCGGGCAGCCCGGGCAACCTGCCCCAGGACCAGCGGGGGTCCAGCAATCAGAAGTGTGTGAGGACATATGTGAGTTGGGGGAGGACGGCTGAGCACAGAGTGGGGGCTAGCTATAGTGTGTGTAGGGATGCAGCCTAGGAAGTGGGGGCCCCTGTCTCACAAACCGAGACCATCCTTGAAGCCCATGCCCTCCCCCGGTCCTGAAGTGAGCCGCGCCACTCCCTCGCCCCCTTTTATGGGCTGTCCGGCAGCTGGACAGCGGAGATTTGGGTCTGAGGGTGGCCAGCCCGGGCCAGTTCCTAATTACCCCGGGGCAGGGCAGACATCTGCCAGGCTGGGAACACGGTGTCCTGGCTGGCAGGGCTGCAGGGCGGGGCTGCAGCAGGCCTCCTAATGCACACGGGAAACATGAGGGGCTTCAAAGGTGTCCCTCTTGGGGTTGGAGCTCTTAGCCTCCGTACCTTCCACACCGGGTTATGAGTTTGATGTTGGGGATAAGGGAGCTATTGTGTCAGGCGGGGGGGGGGGTCCCCCTTTGTAGGGGTTTCTGTGAAGGGGGAGCATCTGCCTGCATCCACACCAAATTAGGGGACAAGATTGTGTGTTCATGGCAGTACTGAGAGTATCTGAGAACTGAGGTGTGTGTATGGGTGTGGGTGCTTGGCACACTGCGGTGAGGGAGCAGTGAGGGGAATGGCTTATTACTGATTGTGCAGATACAGATGAGTTTCATGGGGGGTCGGCATGAACCCATCTGGTTAGAAGGGTCTGTGGCTCTGTAGGGGAGGGGTCTCTGTTGTAGGAGTGTGTTTGGGACCCTGCTCTGACCCCAGGACCATGTGCCACTGTGTTGAGGGCAAGTGTGCCTGCATCTGGTGTGTGACCACAGCTCAGAGTTTGTGCAGGAGAGATCGGGAGTAAATATATGGTCCCATATGACGCTGTATGATTGTGTGCGTGAAGGCATTCTGGGGTCTGTGCTTAGCGGTTATGTGACCTTGCATATCTTTGTTCCCATGGTGTGATCATGAGGGAATGCGGGGTCCCGGGTCCTGAGTGGCTGGAGTCCCATATGGATGGATACCTGAGAGCCGAGAGCCTGATGGGTTAGGGTCCATATGCCCATATTCAAATGTTGGGGGTGGGTAGAGCTACCCGTGTCTTGTGTGACTTCGTAAGTCTTTGTGACAGTGTAGATTGCCCTCTGCATTACCACAGTTGTGGGACGTTGTGTTAAAAGAAGCTCAATTTGTGTCTGGGTCTACGGTGTGTCTTTGTATGTGCATCCTTGTGGAGTGACACACCCTCAGTCAGCAGTGTGTGTGTGTCTCTGGAGCTGGGAAAGAGACAGTCACTGCCCCCTCCCCCAGCTTAGGTCCAAGATCCCAGAGCCAGTGACTAACTAGGACAGAGACAGGGAGGAGCGAGGGAGGACAGGGTGGATTGCTCCCCCTGCCCCAGGTAGCAAACTGGCAGGACTTCTCCAAACAAACTTCTGAGGCTGCAGCCAGGGGGGGGGCGGGCCAGGGAGGGGCTGCCCACGCCCACTCCCCAGCCCCCTCCCCCCAGGGTCTGGCCTCAGCCCCACCTAACACTGAAGTCACCCGCCCATTCTGTCCCAGGCCCGGTTTGTCTCTGCACCCTGCACCAGGTGAGAAGGGCCCAGGCCTGGGGGAACAGGATCCTGAGGAGAGACGGGTCCTTAGGCAGGAATCCATCAAACTCCTCAGGGTGGGGACTTAAGGGCTCTGAAGGCTGGAGGGGAATGGACAGATGAAAGGTCCAGGTGGGTCCATGAGAAGGGGGAAGGGACAGAACCTGGGCAGTTAAGCTGGGGGAATTGTGTAGGGGAGAGACCAGCCAGAGGAGAGGACCTGGAGGATAGAGCCTGGAGAACTGGAGGCTTGGGGACTGGGTTTCCAAGGGCTTCAGAAGGGCGTGCAGGGGTGGAGGATGGGCTGAGACTGGGAGCTGTAGAGGTGAGGTGGGGGACCAGCTGAGATGGGACCTGTAGAAGGGGATCTAGGCTGGGGAAGAGCTGGAGTCCTATGACTCTAGAAACTGAGGCGCTGGGGACTCGGGAGTGGGGAAGGCTGTAGCTGGAGCCCAGGAAAGGGGGCTGGGATAGCATAGAGGGCTACTGGGGCTGATTCTGGGACCCAAGGGTCTTGGGGGTGGAGGGAGAGGACCTGGAGAGGTAGACGCCAGACGCTGGGGCCAGGAACCCTGGGAAGAGGGAGGCCAGTCAGAGGGGATTTGGGAAGGATTGGGGGGCTAGGGCCGGACTGAGCACGCTTGGGAGGAGACCGGAACCTGGGCTCGGGATGTGGCCGAGGAGACCACGGTGTGGGAGGGGACACCAAGCTGAGTTGGCCCGCACCTCTCCGCCCCTGTCCGCAGCCCGGGGGGCGCGTTCCTCCGCCCACAGGCTGGGGTCCACTTCAGCCCCCTCTCCTTCGGCGCAACCGGCCCGGCGCTGCGATGACCGTCACATACACAGCCCGTGTGGCCAATGCGCGCTTTGGAGGATTCTCGCAGCTGCTGCTGCTGTGGCGCGGGAGCATCTACAAACTTCTGTGGCGCGAGCTCGTTTGCTTCCTCGGACTATACATGGCGCTGAGTGCCGCCTATCGGTGAGGCGGCCCTGGGCTGGGGGGCGCCGGCCAGGGAGCCTAGGGAAGGGACCTTGGGTGTGTCCCGGAGGGAGGCTCTCCTGTGACCCCCTGCCCCCTCCCTCGCAGTTTCGTGCTGACAGAAGAGCAGAAGCGTTACTTCGAGAAGCTCGTCATCTACTGTGACCAGTATGCCAGTCTCATCCCTGTCTCTTTCGTGCTGGGTGCGTTCGCTCCAGAGTTCCCCAGAAACCCATTTCCAGGCCTTTTGGAGACCCCATTCCTCAAAAGACTACCCCCTCAAATCCAACCCCAACAGACCCATATTTCTACATCTTTCATGCCAGGTGTGGCCCCAATTACAGAGACCTTGGATGTCACCTGGTTACAGTAAGCCATGAGAGCTCCGTGTCACCCATACATAGGCTTATCCTTGGCCATCTCAGGGTCTCCCCCCTGTGTCTGCATGAGACTCCTAATGGCTCGCTACATGTCGGGCCCCAGGGACCCCTCCAGTGACCCCATATGACTCCATCCTCTCAAGGGCAGCCGGGAGGACATTTCTCTTGACAAGTCAGTGACTTCACGTGACCCCAGCCTCCAGTTTCAGATCCCCATGCTCCCAACCCTGGGTGACAACCTGTCTTTGTAGGCCCTGTGTCTCCATCTCCATACTGAGATCCCAATCCCACATCCCAGGTGACAATCAAATAGCCAGGGTGACCCAGCCTGCTCTAGCCTCTCTGACCAGAGGGCTGCCCCCTTCCCCGATTCCCAGCCCAGGTGGCCCCGAGAGGTGAGTGGGTGACAAGCGTTCCCGGGTATCTCTGATTGCAGATCGTATATCATCCCTCTTGCCACGACCTGGCCCTAGGATCCCCACTTAGCCCCCCCGCCCCATTGCCGGCTGTCCCGCAGGTTTCTACGTGACGCTGGTGGTGCACCGCTGGTGGAACCAGTACCTATGCATGCCGCTGCCCGACGCGCTCATGTGCGTGGTGGCAGGCACAGTGCACGGACGCGACGAGCGGGGCCGCCTCTACAGGCGCACGCTCATGCGCTACGCCGGGCTCTCGGCTGTGCTAATCCTGCGCTCAGTCAGCACCGCGGTGTTCAAGCGCTTCCCCACCGTCGACCACGTAGTGGAGGCGGGTGAGGCTCCGCCCTGAAGCCGGGAGGGGGGCGGGGCTGAGGACAGGGGACTGGGCGAGTAACCTCCCACCCACCCCGATTTCACCCCCTCCAGGATTTATGACCCGGGAGGAGCGGAAGAAGTTCGAGAACCTGAACTCGTCCTACAACAAGTATTGGGTGCCCTGCGTCTGGTTCTCCAACCTGGCTGCTCAGGCCCGGCGCGAGGGCCGCATCCGCGACAACAGCGCCCTTAAACTGCTGCTCGAGGTGGGCCCGCTGGGAGGTCATTCATACAAAATTCCAGGGAAATTACACCTCCCCGGAATTGTGTCAGATGGTGGCCTGCCACGCGCCTCCCACGAGGCAGATTCCCAACACCATTACCCAGCAGCCCCCAGGTGCACACTTATCTCTAGGGGGGCCAACTCCCAGGCACATAGTACCCCTACCCCAGATGTACACGCCCCACTAAGTACTCTGCCTGGAGACCCAGAAGCGCACGCCCACATCCCACCAGGTAACCACTCACCTGCAGCCCAAGTACCTACTCACACCTGATCCCCTTGTGTGCGCTCGCAATTCAGGCCCTCTCGTGACTTGTATCTGCACCCAGGAGCTGACTGTGTTTCGGGGCAAGTGTGGAATGCTCTTTCACTACGACTGGATCAGCGTACCCCTTGTCTATACCCAGGTAACCCTGCCATGCCTCCGTTTAAATCGGGCATCAGACGCTCTGACGCATTGGTCTCAAGGAAAGACTGAGGGCCAGCTAAGACCCCGTATCAGTGATACCCCATCCTAGTCCTCAGCTCTCCAAGACCTCCTGAGACTGGGAGAACCCTGACCTGGTGACCCACCCCGCCCCCCAGGTGGTGACCATAGCTGTGTACAGCTACTTCCTGGCCTGCCTCATCGGTCGCCAGTTCCTGGACCCAGCTCAGGGCTATGAAGGCCACAACCTGGACCTGTGCGTGCCCATCTTCACCCTGCTGCAGTTCTTTTTCTATGCGGGCTGGCTCAAGGTGGGTGGGGCGCAGAGGTAGGGCCCCCCAGGATGGGATAGGCACGGGTTCACAGGGCTCTACCAGACTATTTCCTCCCCCTTCAGGTAGCCGAGCAGCTCATCAATCCCTTTGGAGAAGACGACGATGACTTTGAGACCAACTTTCTGATCGACCGCAACTTCCAGGTGAGACTCGGTTGTGACCATCCGGGGCTCCCAAACCAGCCTTGGCCCCACCACCCGCCTAGACTTGCCCAGGCTTGGACCCTGAACCATCCTTCTTTCTTTGGTCACCATACTCCTAACCCATCCTGAGGGATCCACCCCGTGGTGCCCGCGCTGTGCCAGGCTCCACCCAGCCCCTCATGCCCACGCCTGCAGGTGTCAATGCTGGCCGTGGACGAGATGTATGATGACCTGGCCATGCTGGAGAAGGATTTGTACTGGGACGCGACTGAGGCTCGCGCCCCCTACACCGCAGCCACGGCGTTCCTGCTGCAGCAGCCCTCCTTCCAGGGCTCCACCTTCGATATCACGTGAGCCAGCGGGATGTGCACGCCCATCGGTGGGGCCTCCTGTAGGAGGGGCTGGCCCTGAGGGGATTATCCAACCGAAGGGGCTATAGGACACCAGGATGGGGCCAATTTGGAGATTCCGGGCTAAGACCTAAAATCTGTGAGGACTAGAATGGGGGCTAGGGATCCGGGTCAAGGTCTGGGACGGCCACTGATTGGGGGCAGACCTAAGCGCTAAGACCTATGAGGATTGGACGGACGGCCAGAGGCAGTGCCGGAGACGCGGCCGTCACAACTGAAGCTTGAAGGGCTAAGTTTGAGCTTAGCCAAACCCAGAGGATGAAAGCAGGCTCTCGGGAGAAGGACCAAGGTCTTTTGAGATAAGTGGGACAAAGGTGTGGGTGGAACCAGGAGGACCAGCTTGTCTCGGTCTCTGTCAGTCAAGGAGAGCAGCGAGGTCGCAACGCTGCACCACTGTCCGTCCAACAGGTTGGCTAAAGAGGACATGCAGTTCCAGCGGCTGGACGGTGCGGACGGACCGCTGGGCGAGGCGCACGGCGACTTTTTGCAGCGCCTCCTGCCGGTAGGCGCAGGCATGGCCGCGGCAGGCCTGCTCGGCCGGCGCCTGTCCCTAATGCGCCGCAAGAACAGCTGCGTGTCTGAGACGTCCACAGCCGCCAGCTGCGCGTGCGCAGGTGCCCCTGACGGCGCGGCCCCGGAGTGCGGTTGCTGGGACCCGCTGCTCGACGCCGGCCTGCGGGAGCCAGAGCCAGAGCTCCCCGTCGGCCCCGAGATGCCCGTCCCGGGGCCCACGCCCGAGCCCTTCACAACCGTGCCTATGCCCGCACCGCGGGGACCGGCTCCTCCCTGGCTGCCCAGCCCCATTGGCGAGGAGGAGGAGAGTCTCGCCTGAGGCCCTCAGGCCTAGGATCCCCAAGGACAGGGACACAAACCCCGACAGGGCACGCAGGCAGCAGTTCGGATCTGCGTAAGCCGCGTGTGGACTCTACCTGCCCTATTTTGACCGGTTCCCGCCTCCTGCGCACAGTCCTTCACGTCTGGCACTGGGGCTTGGAGCGCCTCCTGTGGGCCAGGCACTGGGCTAAGGGTGAAGGATTCGTCCAGCTTCTTTGAACAGCCGGTCCTTCCCACGAGCTCTACTGCCCTCCCTCCACCGCCTGAGAGGACCCATCAATGTGCCTTGCCTTTATTTTTTCCTTAAAATGGGAGATGTGAGTGCCTACCTCATTGAGTTATGGGGATAAAATAACGACTTTAGAGTGTCGATCCATTATAGGTGCTCAATAAAATGTTAGTGGTTTTTACACAAACATCATTAGCCTGACTTTTCCTGCCAGGAATTAGGCTAAGTAAGATTTGAGAATTCTTCCAGATTCTTTGATCACACGCTGCCTCCTTCTTCCCAAACTCTGCACTCTGAAATGACCCCATCAGTGTCCATGGCTTTACTCATTCATTACTGTACCAGCCGGTCCCCAGACCACAGCCTCCTCCTGTCAGTCTTGTTTTATGATTCTGCAAGTGACTTCTCTGCCCCAAGTCCCTGCATTCTCTGATACCCCTTCAGTGCTCCCAGTCTTAATTCAATCATATGGTGAATTCACATGTCCAACCAGGACCCCTCTCCAGATTCCAGACTGGGAGAGCCACCTGTCTGCTTGGTATCTCCATACGGCACCTTGAACAGAACATGCTCCCCAAACCAGCTCCCTCTTGGCTCCCAAATCTTCCCCAACCTATCTGTTGGCTTTGTCCTTCTGGGTGATAGACCCAAATCTGGGAATCCTCTCCAACTCTTTCTCTTACCCCCTCCATGTCCACCTAACAGCAAATCCTATCAGCTCCGTCTTCAAACTGTAACCAGAATCCAACCATTTCCCGTTCCTCTAGGGCCCACATCTTAGAGCCCCCAATGTCACCCACGCACTGCGACCAGGAACCACTGCCCTTGTCTCCCAGCTCCGGCCCTAGCCACCCCCAGTCTGTTTCTTCTACAGTAGCCAAAGAGAGCCCATAAACACCTAAGTCAGGTACTGTCCCTCCCTTCCTTAGGACCTACGTGATTCCCATGTCCCTTGGAATAAAAGTATTCCCTGCAGTTCACAATCTCCCTGCCCTCATTTCTCTCCCCTCCTCCTCACTCACTCCACACTGGGCTCCTCACTGTCCCTCTAACCACGAAGCAAAGCCTCATCGCAGGGCCTCAGGCATATCCTGCTTCCACTGCTTGGAACATTCTTTCCCAGATACCTACAAACTCACCCCACCCCCCACCTCCTTCAGGTCTCTGCTTAAATTATGTCACTTCCTTGGTGAGGCTGCTTCTGCTGGCCTTTTACTTAAAATCACCCCATCCCAAATGGACGTCCCATATTCCCATCACTTCTGACTGCTTTCTTTTTCTCTGTAGCACTTCTCACATCAAACTTTTATTTTGTTTATTGTCTGTTCCCCTTCATGAGAAACAATAGCTTCATAAGGCAGGAATTTTTGTCTGAAGCTTCTTCAAAAAAACGACCACACACCCATACAGTTACACAGACACAACGTGGTTCTCACCTCCCAGTGGGTGCTGTCAGTCACTCATGCTTTAGTAAGAACACAAGCCAGGCCTTTCAAAAAGCAATGCTCTGAGTCCCTGGCCTGTTTTCTCTCCCTCCCCTCAGCGCCCAGAGTTCAGCGAGGGCAGATTGAAAATCTTTATTGTTTTTCTTCTCAAATATAAAAATCACTCTCTCCCCTGGCATCTCATTAACCCCAGGTTGAAAATCAAGGATAAGAATCACATAGCTAAAAAGAACAGGCCCTCCCCTACCTCCAGCTTTATCCCAAACTCTTGTCCCATCTCAGAGAACAGAGGGCAGAAGTCATGACCTTAAGGCTCTCAGGCCGCTGACTGAGGCCTTCCTGATGCTGGGCCCCAGGTGAGCTGGGAGGAATCCAAGGCGGATTGAGCCCCAGCTGGCTGGGCAGGTGGCAGGATACCAAGGTCCATCAGTGCTTGTCAGTGGGGCGCGTGTTCAGGGATGCTAGGCGTCCCAGGGGCCCCCGGCGAGTGTTGGTGGCCAGGCGCTGCTGGGCCAGGAATGACTGGGCGTGGGCGGGTGCCCGCTCCTCCCCAGCTCGCTGCTGCAGAGCCATGCCCTGGAGGGAGGAAGAGCGGGGACGGTTGGGGTCAAGTTGAGCCCCACAGCACATCCCAGAACCCTTACTACAGAGACACGCACTCACCATATTATACCAGGCACTGATGAGCAACTTTTCTTCCTGCTCCCGCTGACTTCGACTCTTCTCAAAGTCCATCTGCCAAAGAGGGAACAATCAGGGGCCTGGATATGCTGCGGACAGCGAGAAGTGACGAGGACACCCACCTCCAGGTGCCGGATGCGGACGTCCCGCTCCCGGAGCTTTGTCCTCAGGGTGTGAAGTTCTGGGGGTGCCCCCCCCGATGGTCGCTGTTTGGGTTCCAGGGTGTGCATGACCTAGGGTTTGGGAAAGACACAGGCAGGGTGACCTTGGCCTTGCAGGGCCTTGGACTCCTTGGGCTGCATTAAGCATGGTGCAGAAGTCTGTGATACGATGGCGGTACGGCAGGTGCAGAAGTGGGAGGCAGAGAGGTGAACACTAGTGGGAGGCACAGGTTGGTGGGAGGCCCGTGGAGCACCCCAGGGTGCTCACCGTGCGCACCCTGTCCACATAGCAGCGGTAGCGCTCTTCCATGGCCCGCAGGTCCGCATCCTTCTTCTGCAGGCTATGCTGCAGCTCCTCGATACGCCGGGCTGCTGTGGGAACAAGGGGACCCCTCAGCTCCCCACCTAGCTCAGGGCCCTCCTGCCCCACCCAGCTGCTGCGTGCCACTCACTGCCGCTGTCAGCAGGCGGTTCCAACTCCTCAATGTATTCTCGCTTCCTCTGCAGCTCCAGATCCGCTTCATGCAGCTTCTGCCTGTGCACAGAGGATGGGCAGCAGCAGGCTGACCGCTGGGCCCCCTTCCCTTTCTCCCACTGACGGCCACAGCCTTCCCCACCGGCCACCATGCATCTGCCTGGCTGCAGAGACCTGGGTGCCATCCCCCCCAAGACAAGCGCTGCGCCTAGGTCCCATCATCTCCTAAGCCATCGGAGCCACAACCGTCCACGCCCCTCAACAGGTGGCCCCTGTGCCAGCCCCCTGTGCGTCCACTCCTCTCCATTCCCCAGCCCACATGCTGGCCCAGCCACCGTCACCCCGTTCCAGCCTCTTCTACGTTCAACCTCAGTGCCTTTCTCCACCCAGCAGCCAGGGATCTTTCTAGCAGGCAAATTTCTTCTAACAAAAAGAAACTGCAAGGTGTAAAACTTTATAGTTCTGCCACCTGCGGCAAAACCCCAAAGATCTAAGAACACTCCTTGTAGGTGAGATTATTATCGTGCGCTGGATATGGAGCTCGGTCTAACACCTAACCGTGAAACTTGGGCTATGTCTACTAAGATTATAAAGGCATGTGCCCTCTAGGTCCCCAATTCCACTTTGTCAACATAGCTGCACAGAAGCAAAATGAAGCATATATGAGGTTTTACTTTGTGGCACTGTTTGAAATTGCAAATACCTAGATAGAATGACTTTTTTAAAGATTTTATTTATTTACTTGAGAGAAAGAGTGAGCAAAAGAGACCACAGCCAGGGGAGGGGCAGAGGGAGAGGGAGGAAGCAGACTCCTTGGTGAGCAGGGAGTCGATGTGGGACTGGATCCCAGAACCCTGGGATCATGACCTGCGCTGAAGGCAGAGGCTTAACCAACTAAGCCACCCAGGCACCGGAAAGAATGACATATACGTTATGACATTCACAAAAAGATGTTACAGGCCAGCCCTCCTGGATTGGAATTTCACAGGAGAATTAAGCCCTGATGTTTCCATATATCCATCCTCTGTAAGGAAATAACTTTTGTCTGCACTCTGGGTTGGTACTAGCTACAATCTATCCTTGGCAGAAGTCAAGCAAATCATTTTCTGTAAGGCCTAATTTCCCCATGGAACCCTAGTCAACAAGAGCTACTGTATTTATTGAAACAAAACAAAACAACAACAACAACAACAACAACAACTATTCATATGGCAAAATTTCCCAGCCATCTTTTTTTTTTTTTTTTAAAGATTTTATTTATTTGACAGACAGAGATCACAAGTAGGCAGAGAAGCAGGCAGAGAGAGAGGAGGAAGCAGGCTCCCTGCTGAGCAGAGAGCCCGATGCAGGGCTCGATCCCAGGCCTCTGGGATCATGACCTGAGCGGAAAGCAGAGGCTTTAACCCACTGAGCCACTCAGGCGCCCCTCCCAGCCATCTTCTTAAGTAAGAGAAGCAAAGGGCAGACTAGCAGATATCAAGTTACTTTACATGTAGGTAACTGAGAAATCAGGATAAAAATTTATATTCATACTCATTTACATTTGCTTAAAAAATTTCATGAGAAAAAAATCTCATGAGATTTTTATTTATTTATTTACTTTTTAAGATTTTATTTGAGGCACCTGTGTGGCTTGGATGGCAATCGTCTGCCTTCATTTTGGGGCATGATCCCCAGGTGCTGGGATCGAGTCCCACATCAGATTCCCTGATCAGCAGGGAATCTGCTTCTCCCTCTCCCTCTGCCTCTCCCCCTGCTTCTGTGTGCTCTCTCTCTCTCTCTCTCTCTCTCAAATGAATAAATATTTTTTTTTGGCTCAGGTCATGATCCCAGGGTCCTGGGATCAAGTCCCATATCCGGCTCCTTGCTCAGCAGGGAGTCTGCTTCTCCCTTTGCCCCTGACCCTTCCTCTTCCATGTTCACTCTTTCTTGCTCTCTCGGTCAAATAAATAAAATCTTTAAAAAAAAAAAAAAA